AATTCCACAGAACTGCCAACAGACTCCTCACCATTAACAATTGACCTCAACTCAACACAGCTGGCAACAGCATCCTCAACATTGACAGATGCCCTGAATTCCACAGAACTGGCAACAGACTCCTCACCATTAACAATTGACCTCAATTCAACACAGCTGGCAACAGCATCCTCAACATTGACAGATGCCCTGAATTCCACTGAACTGTCAACAGCATTCTCCCCATTAACAATTGACCTCAATTCAACACAGTTGGCAACAGCATCCTCAAAATTGACAGATGCTCTGAATTCCACAGAACTGCCAACAGCATCCTCACCATTAACAATTGACCTCAATTCAACACAGCTGGCAACAGCATCGTCAACATTGACAGATGCCCTGAATTCCACAGAACTGCCAACAGCATCTTCACCAGTGACAGATGCCCTAAATTCTACAGAGCTGCCAACAGCATCCTCATCATTAACAATTGACCTAAATTCCACACAGCAGCCAAAAGCATCATCACCATCATTAACAATTGAACAAAATGTCACACAGCCAGTATCAGTATCCTCACCATTGACAGATGCCTTAAATTCCACAGAACTGCCAACAGCATCCACACCAATGATAGATCCCCTAAATGCCACACAAGTGCCACCAACATCCTCACCATTCATGAGTTCCCTAAATACCACGCAACTTCCACCAGCATCCTCCACATTGACAGATGCTCTGAATTCCACAGAGCTGCCAACAGAATCCTCACCATTAACAATTGACCTCAATTCCACACTGCTAGCAACAGCATCCACACCAATGATAGATCCCCTAAATGCCACACAAGTGCCACCAACATCCTCATCATTCATCAGTTCCCTAAATTCTACACAGCTGCCACCACCATCCTCACCAATGACTGGTGCCCTCAATGCCACACAACTGCCACCACCATCCTCACAAATGACTGGTGCCCTCAATGCCACACAACTGCCACCACCATCCTCACCAATGACTGGTGACCTAAATTCCACGCAGCTGCCACCAGCATCCTCACCAATGACTGGTGCCCTCAATGCCACACAGCTGCCACCAGCATCCTCACCAATGACTGGTGCCCTCAATGCCACACAGCTGCCACCACCATCCTCACCAATGACTGGTGCCCTCAATGCCACACAGCCACCACCAGCATCCTCACCAATGACTGGTGCCCTCAATGCCACACAGCCGCCACCAGCATCCTCACCAATGACTGGTGCCCTCAATGCCACACAGCTACCACCACCATCCTCACCAATGACTGGTGCCCTCAATGCCACACAGCCGCCACCAGCATCCTCACCAATGACTGGTGCCCTCAATGCCACACAGCCGCCACCAGCATCCTCACCAATGACTGGTGCCCTCAATGCCACACAGCCGCCACCAGCATCCTCACAAATGACTGGTGCCCTCAATGCCACACAGCTACCACCACCATCCTCACCAATGACTGGTGCCCTCAATGCCACGCAGCTGCCATCAGCGTCCTCACCAATGACTGGTGCCCTCAATGCCACACAACTGCCACCACCATCCTCACCAATGACTGGTGCCCTCAATGCCACGCAGCCGCCACCAGCATCATCACCATTGACAACACTTTTCACAATGACACCTTCCACAACAGTGACATCGGCGACAACAACAGTGACATCGGTGACAACAACAGTTGTAACTTCAGCTACGCCATCTCCCAATAAAACTTCTCCAACATCCACATCGTCAACTTCAGTGTATTATCTAGTCTCAGGAAACACAACGGGTAAGTTGATTTCCTCCCTCCATCACCAGATCAAAAGTAACTTTTTTAAAAATTAATTATAATTACTGCATTGCATCATCCCAACATAATATATGTTGATACTTAAATACAGCACTCGGCGCACTATTTGTTTATTTAGCTGTTCACATAATTACCGTTGTACTTTAATATGCTGAGCCACATACATTTTTCAAAAGTTGAAATTACTTTCTTTTAAAATATCAACTTTTTTCAGGAAGGCGTAATAATAACACTTTCATCCATGATGTAGTCTAGGCACCTGTATCTGAAAAGTGTTTTTATTATGATAAAATAATGGTGATGGCAATGCAATTAAACAAAATCACTGTTTTGCATATTCTACCCCCTGTTACAGCTTCAACATCCCCACAGCATCAAACGAACACCACAATATTACCGTCGGCCACTAATCTTTCATTGTCCACAATGAGTACATTATCCGGTGTATGGTTTACAACGCTGTCGTCTACGGCCGTAATTTTTGTCCACGGCTCGGTAAGAAACCTAACTTTCACGAATCGAGGAGTGACGAACACATCCCTGGAGGTCACCTGGTTGAGTGCGTTGGGAGCTGTGGAGAAATACACGGCGCTCATCGCTCCCATAGATTCTCCCTCCATTTCCATCAACTATAATGGTTCACTCACCGCCAAGTTTGCTGGGTTGAGGCCCAGAGTCCAGTACATCGTCACGGTGAAAACCATCGGAAAAGGAAATGTCTCCGATGAAGGAGTGTCCGTGACGCAGAGTACAGGTGGGTACCCGCATGATTGAGTGATTGTAAATTATGAAACGTTTAATTCTGATGTACCTATGCCAACGAATGGCGAGTCAACATGAAACCTGATAGTGAAAAGCCCTTTTTTTTTAAGCCATAACATATGTCATACTGTACAATTGTGACATACAGTACTATATCACATGTGTAGTACTTGAGATACGCGTCACGCGCTGGGTCGGTATGCGCGCACGCGGCGGACAGTGAGGGCGAATGAGGACACAGGGCGCTGATTGGCTGGCCGTGGCGTCGCGAGGGATGACCTAATTAGGGGTAATTGGTTCAGGGATAAAGTGTGACATGGTGGAATGAAACGGGAGTTGGTGCCTGGGACGAGAGACGGACAGATGGAGAGACAGAGCAGTGGATAGAGTGAGTACAGCGTAGGGTAGCAGTGGATAGAGTGGGTACAGCGTAGGGTAGCAGTGGAGAATAGTGAGGATAGTGTAGGGTAGCAGCGGAGTAGCGGAAGCATCAGAGGAGAGAGACGGCAGAGAGTTACGACGGAGTTGACAAAGAGCAGCCGAGCTGGAGAGAGCGGAGAGGAGAGTCGACGGAGGAGCAGAGGGGAGCGAGCGAGGCCAGCGTTGCGCAGTGAGCGAGCAGAGAAACATTGCGCGGTGTTAACGGAGAGTTGTGGGTTGGAGTTTACGGAAGAACATTGAGCGGTGTTGAAGGGAGAAATGTGGAACTATGTAATTGAATAAAGAAACGAGGAAAGACAAGAAGTTGTCGCGTCGGTCCGAGCACTACACATGCAATAATCAATCCACTTGTCTTGGACATTGCAATTCAATGACATTTGAGTAATTAAACTATTTGCTTCAGTGTGTGGTTTAGCACATGTATTATCATCATTAATGTTAAACTATTCATGGAATGTTAACATATTCATGGTTAACTGAAATAATTCTGGTACGCAGTGTTTTAATGACATACCTATAAATACGAGTATACACTGGTAATCCAGAGGTTGCCTTTTAGAAAAATATTCCTGCGTGACAACTAAAACAATGGGCACCTTTCTTAAAATCGACCCAGCCAGATAGGTACTACAACCACAGCCAATCGGCAGATCGCGTGTGGCGGGGCAACGTGAGAGTACGAACCACCTCTCTCAACACGTCTGGGTCAGCGTGAAGCAAAGAATGTCATAGCTGCTGCACAATCATTTGTTGATATTGTCCATCACATCCGTCCGTGTGTCTGTCCATCCGACCAACTTTAGCCAACAATTCCACCATCTGATTCTGCTTCGGCAGTTTTTCCTGCTGTGGTTGTCCCACCTGATGACGATTGCTTGTGTTGCGATCGAAACGTCGTGATCTATTATTTTTCTACCTGCGTAACTTTACCGAAAGAACCAAAGAGTATGGATTCCTGCAGTCACGAAAGCTTCGAATCAAAATGAGAATATAGTTAGCAATACGTACTCTTGATTATGCACAGGTAGCTCCAATTGTGATCAGTTGACGTTTATTTCTTGTAGCTATTGTCCATTCATTTTATTCTTGCCCTTAATGTTCGAAACTTTTCAATGGCATCTGTTGTTTTGCACTACTATAAAGTCTGTTATTAACTTTGAAAAAAATATCTCGCGTTTACACTGGGTCATACACGATGCAGAGCTAATGTTCAGCGATTGCCGTTAAGCCTGACGACATTGTTTCCCCTATAGACTCTGACGAGTGCAGCGACGGGACCAGCAAATGCGCTCAGGTGTGCAATGAGCTGAACCTCTTTGAGAACAGCCAGGGCTACAACAGCTTTCCTCAGAGCCTAGTCTCACATGGTGTTGGACCAGATGACGCCTTTTGGCGTCATCTGTCTCGGGTGTGGACCAATCAACTTCAAGGACAGTGCATACATTATCAGAGTTATGTTTTTTGTTTGCATTATGACTGCAGGTATTGTGGTCTATGCAAACATGACTCCTCGTAAAAAAGGTGTCAGTTTTGTTGCCAGATAAAAGGGTAAAAAAACAATTACCAACATGCGGATTATTTACCCCCAAATCTGTTGCTGATACTCTCAGTAGCTCCATGCTTTGGCTTTGTTCTCCTTGCCTATAACATAATCACACGGGTCCCCATTAGGCTACAGCTGAGTGAGCGAGTTGATTAGTCCTTATGAAAGGAAAACATATCCATGTCTCCAATTCTTTGCACTGCTTAAGAATGCCTTTCTTGGAGGCTGGTCAGTCAAGTCGTTGAGCAGACTGTGTGAGCATGTAAATGTAGCGGTTATGTTTTAGTTTTTTTTATAATATATCTCTATGTATATGTATTATCATACAAATGTACGGTCCTATATTTGAAACTGTGCATTCCTCTGCATACACCATACGTCATGCCTCAAGTGGAAGAGAAACTGAAGTCTTCTCTACCTCTCCCCTATCCTCTCTTCCAGAGATTATTCATCGACCTTTTACAGGGCCAAAATACCATCAGAAAACGTTGTGGATCGCTATCGTCCCGACGTGTTTGCTGGAGAAAACACAGGTAAACGACGTTCATTTTCTTGTTGAACCATACTGATTGAAGTGTTTTTTTATGACATTGTGGGAAATATTTTTAAATGCACTTTAATGTGTTTAAGTTTAACCGTTAAGCATTAGCTTGTATAGTTTTTTTTCTATATAGAATAGAAAAGGTAGATATGAAGGCCTAAAGGACAAATATATATAAATTATACATTATATTTAAGTTTTAAGTGTATGATGATTATTTTTTTTAAAAATACAGTAAAACATAGCTGTATTTTATAGTAGATTTGTGAAAAGGTCATATTTGTGAACGTCTATAAAAATTACAGTTATATGTGATGGTCTCATTATGCAATGTCGTAATGTGTTTAATTACTTTCAGGTTTAAAGGGAAGGTTGGCGTACAGACTGGATTCAAACTCAGCGGCGACCAAGAACCCAAAGCGCCAGTGCCTGACCTGGTATCAAAGCGAGCAAATGATGAACTTCAGTCCATTCACTACCTGTCCCTGCTCTCTCTGGCAAGGGCTATTTGACAGCAGATACACATACGGATACAACATAGCTAATTATGGATATCAGATTTCGTATGTCCCAGGTGAGTCGGACTTATCGCGTTCATTTTTGCACAAGCTACAATGCTGATTTGCGATGCAATAAATATTGACAATAATCTATGGAACACGAATGCTTTCACACGTGATAAATGGATCAAGTTTGTGCAGTGTAAGAATTGATCGCAATTCGTATGTGTTGTGTGTGATCACTTCGTGGAAACACTGCTGCCACTATTTAATTTTCCAAGCATCACAACAGCAACAACATAACATCAATGTACAAATGCAACTCTGACCCCCCCCCCCAAAAAAAACTAAAACAAATATTCGTGGAGGGGGTTGATTTGTTACATCGGTAGTTGGAATGTTTTATGCTTATCAAAGGTATTTGTAATTTACAGGCACATCCTGGAGTCTACAAAGCGTGCAGATGGATATTTACGGGGCAGGGGTCAGGTGCTATTACAGCTGGTGGGGAGCGTTGCTGTATGGAAGGTACGAGAAATATCTGCCCACTCCGTGGTTTCAGTACCAATGGTGGTGGTGGTCATACTACTCTGCGTTTTCGGCCGAACGTAACACCTATACCGGTAAGTTATTGCACGCGAATACGCATATTGTTTATTGGTAAGGAGGTGAGCGTCCAAGAAGAGTTTGACAAACCTCATATGAGGATACACCTTGTTTGATAACACTCGCCCGACTAATGACCATCGGCTTGGACCTGTGGCTTGGACAGAGCAGTAGCCATAGAGCAGGCCCACAGTAAAAGGTAAAGGTGCAGCCCTAAAATTACTTTTGGCTAGAGAGAGGAAGACCTGGCAGAGAATGGCCTGACGACATAAGAGATTGACATCAGAGATTGGTGCAAGACAAGATGTGGTCACTACTTGAGCACATTGGCACAAGACAAAGGAAAGTGGAAACAAATGACGAAATGTGCAGTGGACACCTACGGGGCTATCTGCACATAGATCGTGATGATGATGATTATTTTAATTTACATGTTCTGCTTTTTTATTTGTCTGACCTGTTGTCATTAACAATGGACAATCCAAACAGAAATCAGCGACACGCATATGATTACCTGTTAATAGTTCCCAAATTTTGCACACAATTTGAAGCAAAAACATTACATGCAGCTGCCCAAATTTTTGGGACAACCTTAGTTACTACTAGCCTTTTGCCCGTCCAAGGACGGGTGTATTGCAAAATGCGTGTGCAATTTGTAAGGGCGCGGTGACACAGACTTATTTCATTTTTAAGGTTATTCCTTTTTCATCATGACGTCCTTTTTACTTTGATGTCTCAACAACAGCGTTACGGAGATCGCGTGATGTGAGGGTTCTGCCTTTATAGTGAGGGTTAGAAGTTGACGCCGAAGAGGGGGGAGGAGGCGCCTCGGCCCCCCATCTGGAGTGACGTCAGCCGCAAATTATTATGAATGGGGGGGGGGTCCATTTGGAGGACGTCACCTGTTAATGATTATTAATGAGGGGGCTGTTCGATGTGGAGTGACGTCACCTGCTCATGATTATTAATGAGGGGGGGGGGGTGCTCCATGTGGCTTGACGTCACCTGCTCATGGATATTAATGAGGGGGGCTGGTCGATGTGGAGTGACGTCACGAGCTTTAAGGACAGACATTCCTAGGTGATTATAGTAGGTATGTCTCTTGGCATCCCCATTTTGCCATCTCTGTCTTCATTTAAAACTGACTTAATTAAAATCACTAACGTTTAAGTGTGAATGTAATTTTACAGAAATAATTGTGATTATTACGTTTTTTTCGTGTCATTCTGTAATTGTGGAATGCTTTGATGTTGTCTACCAGCTGAGTCGCCCTTGAAAAAAAGAGAGCTTATTAGTTAAATGGCCTTCATTACTTATTGGGAAGTAAACATATGATTCTGACTTTCTCATGCCACGGTTTGGCTAATCTACACCAAGTGCCTTATTGCTGATCTACACACGTGCCTGTCTAATAATTCTAGTTAATCAAGAGTAAAAAAAAAAAAAGGCCGGCAAAATCCCATCACCACCTCCACGCGGTGCCGGCTGGATTCCAACCAACGGTGAGGGTCTTTGGCGTCAGATGGAGCGACCCACCGGCCAAAGTATTTCTGTGTCGCATCTATGGCAACGTCAAAACAACTTGGAACAAGCTAGGGCACCCCTCGGGGGAAACGCGCGCCGTCCTCGCCCAAACGACGCGAGAAGTGGACGAGGGCTACCTGCTCATGGATGGGGCAGGCTAAAGAAGTTAGTTCGACTACGGCTGGGAACACTCAACATCGGAACATTGACAGGGAGAAGTCGAGAATTGTCAGCTGCCCTAAAGGCCCGTCGTATCGACATCGTATGCATCCAAGAAACGAAGTGGAGTGGAGCAAAGGCCAGGGAGATTGGAGAAGGATACAAACTGTTCTACAACGGTGAAAGAAACACCAAGAACGGCGTTGGAATCGCAGTCAGCCAAAATCTACGAGACAACGTCGTGGCCGTCCACCGCGTTTCCGACCGCCTCATGTCCATCGAAATCGACTCAAACGACCTACGCCTCCGGGTGGTATCTTGTTATGCGCCGCAGCCCGGCTGCCCAGCAGATACCAAGGAGGAATTTTGGGAACAATTTGATGGACACATGCAATCGATAAATGGAGAAGAGCAGTTAGTAATTGGTGGAGACCTAAATGGACACGTTGGAAGCGCCCTGGATGGATACCCTCGAAACCATGGTGGCCAAGGATATGGTACCCGGAACGATGAGGGAAACCGAGCCCTGGACTTTGCGGAAGCCCATGATCTTGTCCTCGCCAACACCTTCTTCAAGAAGAGACCGTCCCATCTCATTACGTACGCCAGTGGTGGGAGATCAACTCAAATTGATTACTGGCTTGTCAAGCGGGATAAGCTGAAAACGGTGACAAACACTAAAGTCATACCATCGGACAACATCGCCCCACAACATCGCATCCTGGTCATGGACATAAAAATGGACATTGGCCAGCGACATCGCCCACCAACAACTGGACAGCAGCGAATTAAGTGGTGGCGGATGAAGGAATGCAAGGATCAGCTGAGAGTTGCCTTTAATCAGATTGACGTGAACACCAACCGACCGGCGAATGCGATTTGGGAAGATCTCGCCGGCCAACTGTGCACAGCAGCAACGGAAGCACTGGGGCTAACTAAGCCGGGAAAACACTTCATTGACAAGCAAATATGGTGGTGGAACGAAGAAGTTCAGCTAGCAGTGAAAGAGAAGAAGCTAGCTTTCAAGAAGTGGCGCCAAACGCTCACAGATCTGGATTACCAACATTACAGAAACTGCAAATCGGCAGCGAAGCGAGTAGTTGCAGCGGTGAAATTAGCTCAATACGACCAACTGTATGTCGAACTGGACACCCCAGAAGGTGCCAATAAGATCTATCGACTGGCAGAGGCGCGCCATCGTTCGACTCAGGATATTGGTCAGGTCAAATGCATAAAGGATGAGAATCACAGCGCTCTCAGAGACCCGCCCGCCATCCTTCAACGCTGGAGCGACTACTTCTCTGGAATCTGCAACCAGGAATTTCCCCACCCACCTATTATTAGCGCTGAACACGTCCTCGGTCCGGTTTCACCTATCACCATCACTGAAGTGGAACAAGCTATCAAGAGAATGAAGAATGGGAAAGCGACTGGCCCAGACGATATCCCTGCTGAGGCCTGGAAGATCATTGGCAGGCAGGGTGCTGCCCTCCTTACCCAGCTCTTCAGCACCATCACGAGCACCAGTGAGGTCCCAGAAGCCTGTTCGACCAGCACGACGGTTCCAATTTGGAAGGGTAAAGGGGACGTGGCAGAATGCTCGAATTACAGGCCAATCAGGCTCCTGTGTCATGCGATGAAGATCTTTGAGCGAGTTTTGGACACGAGGATTAGAAACATCATCACCCTATCACCCAACCAATGCGGCTTCGTCAAAGGATGTGGCACTACGGACGCCATATTCGCGGCGAGGCTCCTGCTGGAGAGGCACAGAGAGAAGAACAAAGCTGTGCACGTGTCGTTCCTCGACCTTGAAAAGGCATTTGACAGGGTCCCCCACGACCTCATCTGGCACTCGCTTCGATCCCATGGAGTCCCTGAAACCTACTTGCATTGGGTGCAACTCCTATACAAGAACGTCACCAGTGCAGTCAGGTGTGCAGTGGGCATATCACCGCCATTTGCCATCAGCGTTGGAGTGCACCAAGGATCGGCCCTGTCACCACTCCTGTTTATCCTGTGCATGGACACGATCACTGCCGACCTGCACACGCCCCTTCCATGGTCAATTCTCTACGCGGATGACGTCCTCCTCTCAGATGAAGAGAGAGGAGAAGTGGAAAGACAAACGCGCCTGTGGAAGGAACGTTTGGACGAAAACGGGATGAGGTTCAACATCAAAAAGACGGAGTATATGGAGTGTGGCCCCCAAACCGACGGCACCATCAGTATTGACGGAGAAGATCTGAAGAAAGTGACGGACTTTAAGTACCTGGGCTCCACCATCAGCTCAGATGGTAGCATCACGACTGATGTGAGGTCACGAGTCAATGCGGCGTGGATGAAATGGAGGCAAGTCACCGGAGTCCTCTGTGATCGGAAAATGCCGGATAGGCTGAAGGGAAAAATATACAAGACCATCGTCCGACCGGTGGCACTCTATGGATCCGAGTGCTGGCCAGCCACAACTGTACACGAACAAGCTCTCCACACCATGGAGATGAGGATGCTCAGATGGAGCCTCGGGCTCACTCGATGGGATCGTGTCAGGAACGAAGACGTTCGGAAGCGACTTGGTGTGGCCCCCATTGCGGACAAGATGCTTGAGGCAAGGCTTCGGTGGTACGGCCATGTGATGCGAAGTGAAGAGTCATCAGTGGCCAAGACTGCCGTGCGTATTGAGCCAGAGGGCCGCCGTCCACGCGGACGTCCGAAGAAGCGATGGATGGACCGAATAAAGGAAGACATGAAGACGGTCAACGCATCCCCTGAAGATGCCCTGGACCGAGCCAAATGGAGAAGACAATGCCGAAAAGCGGACCCTGCGCCACAGCGGGAACAACGCTAGGAAGAAGAAGAAGAATCAAGAGTAAAAAAAAAGTTAGATACTTATATTGTAGATCTGCATATTTTTATGGCTCTCTTTATGGTTCAGCCTGTAATTGTTGTATACTAATATACTGTATATCAATTATACGTTTTTACTATAATACTCCTATAAAACAAAGCTATGTAGTCATTATGTTTACGAGCTTTGGTAGTCTTAAACTACCTCGTTTTAATTTTAGCTCCATCACAAACTGGAGTGCACTTCCTGAAGGATGAACCGTGTATTCTTTTAATCAACAATAATAATTAAAAGTCAAGTAGGTAAAACATTTAAATTAATTAAAGTAAAATAAAAATAAAAATCACGACGTTTCAGAGGAAACACAAGCTTCCGTCTTCAGGTGGAACCGTCACAGCCCGACAGCTGTATCAAGTAAATGAGAGATTACAAGAGATACCACTCCGTATATATAATGGTTGAGGGGGAGGGCAAGGGCCAGGAACGGCTCACTTTTCATTATTATGGTAAGGTGCGGCTGTCGGGCTGTGACGGTTCCACCTGAAGACGGAAGCTTGTGCTGCCTCAGAAACGTCGTGATTTTTCTTTTTCTTTTACTTTTATTAATTTAATTTTTTTACCTACGTGACTTTACCGAAAAAACCTAAGAATATGAATCCTTGCAGTCACGAAAGCTTCAAATCTCTAGAAATAATTAAAATGTTACTTGTGAATGTCTTCTTGTATCAGAATAAGACGTGGATCCCTTCAGATACTGCTGCCAGTCCGGGGACAATCGGCTGTGCAGCTTGTACCACCAGAGGCGTCCTATTAACCGATGCACTTACTATAGACCTCCTTTCTTCGGTGAGCCTATTTTATGACTTCACAATAAAGTTTTATGATAAATTATCCAGCGCGCGATTATCCGGCTGCCAACATTTTCTGGCGGTCCCAGGCCGATCTGCCGAAACCGGCAACACCGCTCCAAATGCTGTAACTGTACCAGTACGGCAATCGGCACCACGTGCGTGATAAAAAAGTACCTATGCTTGATTTAAGTGTTATATATTATGTACGGTACATTATTCACTACATGCAACTTAAACGTTGAAAATACTGCACTCTATACATCACCCCATGCAGAGTCTCAACTTTTTAAAGTAGGATATTTTTTTGCCTCTTTGTTTATTTATTCCAATTTCATATCCTAAACAAATTTCAAACACTCAAAGCATACACAACATCTCCGAAGCCGCCGGATAATGCATGATCTCCTGTGTTTCAAAATGGTACAGCACCGCCATTGAATGGTTGAATCAATTGTTGTCAGATGTGACAGATTCTCAGTTGTATTTTTTACATCTCATGTAGATGATAAATTGAGTTTGTTTGGAATTGCATCTGAATCAAACGTTAAATTACTCGCAGATTATTCCACTGGATATAACTGCAGGACATAGCAGCATCTCCCCACTACTTGTGAAACTACTGGAGACATTACGCACCTGTGAAACACATTGCCTTATGGATAGCCTCGTGCTATAAGAAATGGGTGAAGATAAAAGGAGTTGTGACTTGGTTGACTGAACGTTGTGCTTTTTCTTGTTGCTATTTTAGCATTAATCTTCGGCGAACCTCACATCACGAACCTTGACGGTTACTCACAAAAATAATAATTTGGGATGGTGAAATGTTTGGCGCACTGGGACTATGAACTTCACCATTTAACATTGTCAACTTGGTTACCTTTTTCATTGCAGCGTTTCTCATTGGCGACCCTCATGTCACGACCCTGGACAATGCCGCATACACCTTCAATGGCCTGGGAGAGTACACGGTCTTAGAAGCATTTGGAGAGAACATCACTTTCACCATGCAGGCCCGGACAGCAATTGCAGGTGTCATTGGAGTCTCCAAAGCCACTTCTTTTGTTGCCATTGTAGCCCAAGAAAATGGATCCGCAAAGGTATGTGGCAGTGACGCGATATAGTATGTTATGTATATTTAACTTTACATGTACATAGGTTTTTACTCATTCATTGTATAAATAATAGCCACACAAACATTCCGAATCACCTGCCTAACAAAAGACTAAACCTGAATTAATATACATGTGTTTTAGGGATGACATTCAGATAAAAAAAAAATTTAGGGACTATTTTTTTAACTTCTTTAAGATGCATAGATCATTTCCATTTTGTACAAATGTAAAATGTGTCTGTGCTAACAATAGTAAAGTGCTCCGATTATCAGGGGTGGCTTTGTGCGGTGCCAAAGAAGTTCAACATACATGCAATAGTATATGTCACCTGACACCATGTAAAACCACTTTTGTCTGGGAAAAAGCGTGAAAGTGACGTCACTTCTAGTGTTCGGATGATGATTGCTTGTGTTGCAATCGAAACGTCGTGATTTAATCTATTTTATTTTATACCTACGTGACTTTACCGAAAGAACCAAAGAGTATGGATCCCTGCAGTCACGAAAACTTCAAATCTAGACTCAATTAAAACTCAATAATCAATATAATGAAATGCCGTACCTAGGCCTGATTTTCACAATCCGAACTTGGGAACATCCCTTATGTGTGTTTTACACCCCCTGCCAGGATGGAGTGAGCTCTTTGGGTTAGGCTGGCTGTAAGCCTGTACTTAAAAAAAAATAAGGCAGAGGTGAAGCACTGCAATTGCTTGTTCACTCCATTGTTGGCAGAAGGTTGTCAATTACAGAAGGCTCTACAGAGCTCCTCTAGACGGCATTTTCTGGCCTACTCTTCCACGCTGGCCAGACCTTGGTGGGGGATACTCACATTTTTCCCCACCACACATGAATATTGACAATATGGGACCACCGTTTTAACCAGTATAACTCAGTGATGTGCCAGTGTGTTGCAAATCTTAATTAGTGTAAAGGTATCATACATAAAAAAATATATGTTAATGGATAACTTAAGCTTTGTATATATATATTTTTATTCAGTCATTATTGAAGACTGTGATAGAGTATTTTCAGATAGTGTAATGTATTGTTTTCTTAAACTTGTTTTGTGTGTAATTTAAAGGTTGAATGGATTCTCAAAAACAATATCACAATAATCCTAGTAGATGGTGACGTTGCAAATATCACAGGTAAATCTCCCTTTTATCTTTGCACACGTTACACATATTGCAATGGGAACCTAAATAAATATCAACCTGTTTATTAAGCTTACCGTGAATACTATCTTATGCTATTTTCTGCATAAGTGCACAACCACCTTTCCCAAATTTTAATGACAGATGTCTGCCCAAAAGTCATTGCCCGTGCATTCTCTTCTGGACGATTTTTTGCAGATTCACGCGTTTACTTCAATAAAACCTCCGTTTGGCGATCAGAAAATTCCTCCATCACTGCCTCCTTCCCGTCGGGCATCTCTGTGAACGTAACGGCTTCTTACGGGGCCCTCAACTTCATCACGATGCTGCCCGAGAGCTTCATCAACATGACGCAGGGTTTGCTGGGTAAGGGACTCAACTGATACCGTGGCTAACAGCGATTCTACCAGCGGTGTGTTGCCAAATTTAATATTCATCTGAAATTTCGGAAAACGTGGCGTCAGAGAAAGTTACGTCGCTAACATGGCATCGTATCCTTTATTTCTTCCGATCAATTTTTTTATTTGCAGGCGTTTTCAACAAAGATCCAACAGATGATTTCCGAGCTGCAAATGGCACTGTGCTACCTTTTAACGGGACAGATGTACCTTCAGAGTCCAGGATTTACTATGAATTTGGGGTTACATGTAAGTATTCATAACTAGTGTGCGTGACACTTGTGTACGTAAGACTTTTATTGTAAAAATTATAACAAATTGTTCATTCCTTTTTTTTACTGTTAATATACCAGCACATGTGAGATTTTGGTGACGAGCCTTCAATATTACTTGAGTATTGGACATTTGAATAATATATAATGGTGTTTCAATAAGTAATGGTAATTTTAATGTGAGATTAATTCAATGACTAAAACGTACATTTTCAGAAAGCATCCGTTATCATTAACTTGGCAGACTATTTTTCTACGGTCATCTTCAACTCCTAAAATATGCGTTTCCCAGTGTCTCATAATCTTCATAATTCCAACAGTGTAAATGTATTTTGGTTGGCCCTTAAGCCGTGATAGTTACCACCGCACCATTTTACAAGTAATAATAAAAAAATTACTGTTTTGTCGCATCCATACTGTGCTCAACCACGACCACACTGAAGGTTAAAACATTAATTTTCCTGCTTGTTCCCATGAACTGCTGAACTTTGGAATTCTCTCCCATCGTCTATTTTGCTTACTCAATTCAAGAAACGTATCCCCAAAACATAGTGCTGTTTGTTGGTGAGCAATTGACGTTTTGGTGTCTGTGCTCAGCAACTGTGTTGAATAAAAATAAAAAGAACAAGAATATCTAGGTGCTGAAATCACTCAGCAACTAGATATATATATTTTTTTAAACAGTTGGAAGTCTGAAGAGTCGAGCGCCCGGCTGTGTGCCAGATGCTCTAGATTAGTGGTTCTTAAACTGGGGTGCATGCACCCCCTGGAGGAGCAAGATGCCCTCTCTGGGGGTGCCAGATATGGACAGATTTTTTTAGAGTGTAAATCATCGTAACACAAATTAAGCATGGGCATGTAAGTACAACTACTTTGTTTCATCAAACCTATGTATTTATTAACATCACATTATAACGACTGAGAACTAAAAGGGTGCTAGGCTGCAGTAAAGGTTAATAACCACTGCTCTAGATGACTATTCCATCACAGCTTCTAGCAGCTACACTATTGCCTGTGCAGTATAAAACATTATTGTGCGAACTCTATCAACACACCGTGATATTGTGTTTACATGTCAATATTGATCCAAAATCAACCTATGAACATGATCAATGTTGGCTATAATTTGAATAAAAACTGGCCTCCCACTTCTATTGGCAAAATGAACATGTTCGCATCCTCATTGTAGCCATTCCACCAATTAAAACAGTTGTCGCCATTGTTTTTCTTAATGTGTGGAAGGGTGTCACCATTTTTGATCACGTGCTGCATCTCATGGAGATGATAAAATTGCACATAAGTACCAGGGGTTATACCCAATTCACTCTGCAATTCTGAAACTTAAATCTCACTGGCATAGGTTCGAGATTTACCGAAAGATTTGTTTACTTAATGAAATACTCTTGTGTTCCAGCTTGATGCCTAACTATACGACGCGATCAACATATCGTGCAACGTAGCCCAAATGGTTTAATAACAAAATAAGAACATGTCACATGGATATTAAACCTGCATATTACTGTGCTTCGATTTAGTTCCTAAACGGTGTATTGTAAGCCATCTAAATGCACCCACATTTGTGAAAATAAAGTATTACCTTATTCTTTTCACAGGGCAAATAACTGCAAACACGAGCTTGTTTTCCTACAACACCAGTGATGGGGAGAGCTGGCACACCTACAACAACAACACTTTCGTGCCGTTATTTTACGAAGACCTCATAAACCAGACATCTCCAGAACGACTGGCCTTCGTCAACGCTTCCTGCGGAGGGCAAAAGGACTGCATTTTTGATGTGCTCAGCACTAACGACACCAACTTTGGAATGGCCACAAAGAACAGCGCTGGAGATTTTGGATCTCAGGGCCAAGCACTGCGTGAGATATACCTACAGTCTAGATTTTACTGGTAGGAACCCACTGGTTCCACCAGCCCACAGGGGATTATTGTGTCCGTCCGTCCGTCGTGCAGGGAGGGGAGGGTGGGGATGGGCTGGGTGGGGAGGGTGGGGTTGGGTGGGGTGTGGGAGGGGTGGGGTTGGGTGGGGGTGGGAGGGGTGGGACTGGGTGGCGTGTGGGAGGGGTGGGGCTGGGTGGGGAGGGGCTGGTCACCCCGTGGTGCCCTTATAAAACTCAACGTTTAACCTACTCACGCCGGCTTGTGCCCGCCCTCACAGTCGGGCATATTTGCGGTAATACACCACGCCGCCGTTGACCCTGGCCATTGACCGAGCAACCAAACGTTCCTACCAGCTCCCTCCACAGGAATGTGTTTTTGCAGATTGTACTATGCAGGTTTTAGTGGCTCTGCTGGAAAGCTTCCTGATATGTTTATGGGTTGTACCATCAATGTCTGATGTCACGCTCCGCGTGTTGGAATCTCCTTCAGGAACCGAATGTTTCGGAGCTCCCGCCACGGAACACTTCAGATATCCTGCTAAACGGCAGGGAACTGAATGAACCGAAATTAACTCGTAATTAGAGGCTCAGTAATACAGGGTGATCCATTTATAGAGACCCCACTGATTTCCAATGACTCTCTTATGGTACTTTATTTCCAACAGGTGGTTGGGTATTGAGAAAGCGAAGGCTCCGTATCTCACAGAGTAACGGAGAAAATATTTAATAAGGGTATTCACCAAGTATGTTAAGGGTATTCACCAGGTATGTTAATTATTTTCTCCCCTTCTACCCTTTTCCCCTCCCCGGTATAAACGTTCATGTCCCCACTCATGGTCACCACCTGGATGTGGCGGTGAACCCAGGTCTCCCACCCCGCCTTTAAGTGGGCACCTGGCGCGCCGAATACGGGGCTGCTGTTCGGGGAATTTATGTCCCCCCCCGTCTCCGTTCGGAAGGGGACATTCTAGAGGCTTTCAATGCGATCGTTGTGTTTTTACATCACGCGATCCCGTTATTGTAACAATATCTATACATGGTTCGACAATAAAAAATAACTGGAAGACGTCATAGAGCGAACTCTTATTTATAGATAAGTGGTTCGTGTTATATGAGAAGAGGATGACTACACACTTCGGCATAGTTCTTAGATGACCCTTGTTCAATTTCTGTTGCAGAAAACTTCCCTCCCAACATCACAACGGGCGGTCGACTCTTCACCAGCCTCAATCAAACGGTCTCGGTGCAGATCAATGCAAAGGACCCCAACAACGACACCATCGTATTTTCCATGGCAACCAACTCGTCAGGCCTTACAGTCACACGTGAGTAGTTTGTGCATGTCTAGAATTCTAATTTGCGACGTACGTTTTGTAACTTACGATTGTGTACAATGATGACCATTTTATTTGGATTTTAAACATACTCTGTTTCCTGCACAGTGTAAGAAAATTGTAATTGTATATGATCTGGGATTACTTGGACTTTCCCGTTACTAAAATGAATGTTCAGGTGTATACTTAATATCGATTCTTACGTTAATGATATGCGTTGTTTGTGTGTGTGTAAGAATTGATGTTTCAATCCGTGCACATTGTATATAATGGGTTCACATATCTCCAGACCACGAGAGGCCACTACGTCCCTCAGTGTACCAAAATGACCGTGGTTTTTGGGTGCTGCTTGTTGCAGCTGATGGCAATTTGACGTGGAGCCCCAGAAGCTCGAAGCCAGCGTTTGACGTGGTGAGCGCCAGCGACGGCAAGGCCTCCTCTGCGCTGCTGCTCAACCTCACTCTGTGCAACTGCAGCGCCCACTCCACGTGCCTCTACAACCAGACCACCCTGAGCATGAATTCCAGCGATGGATCCTCTTTCCAGGTCAGCTGGGAAGTCCCTCACTTCACGACTTCAATCGCAGCCACTACGTGATAGTTGTTTTCAGAAATGACGTTCATGGAAAGTTGACCAAATACATTGTTTTTAATGGCTTATTCTAGTTCAATTTCTTAATTTAACGATGGCAGTGGGGCAGAATAACAAAAACTTTACACATTCGTCAATAACAACCGTCTTCAGGTGAAAGATTTCCCCCTCTTTTAACCTGAAGACGGTTGCTTGTGTTGCGATCAAAACGTCGTGATATATTATTTTTCTACCTTCGTGACTTTACCGAAAGAACCAAATAGTCTAAGAGTAGACAAAGCAGAGACAACTGATGATGTTGGGTGTAATCTCCAGCGAAACGTCAGACAAATCTGGAACATTTTACTGGTAGGACCTCCTGGTTACACCAGCCCACAGGGGATCATTGTGTTATCGTGCAGGGAGGGGCTGGATGGGGAGGGGCTGGGTGGGGAGGGTTGGGCTGGGTGGGGAGGGTGGGGCTGGGTGGGGGGTGGGAGGGGGGGCTGGGTGGGGAGGGGCTGGTCACCTCGTGGTGCCCTTATAAAACTCAACGTTTAACCTACTCACGCCGGCTTGTGCCCGCCCTCACAGTCGGGCATATTTGCGGAATACACCACACCGCCGTTGACCCTGGCCATTGACCGAGCAACCCAACGTTCCTACCAGCTCCCTCCGCAGGAATGTGTTGCTTGCTTTTCAACCTTCCTCCATTTTTGCGGATAAATCAAATAAAGTGGCACATTTGCCCACCTGGCAAAATTATTTGATTGGCTTTGTTGGGTGGTGAAGGGTTCGAGTTGAAAATTGACACTATAGCTGCAAGATCTTAACCATAATGAACTAATATGAATCATCATTTTGGTCGTCAAAGCCTGTATATAAAGTGAGGCAACTTTGCGTTGGTGGAACGTCTATATTTATAACATGATTCACGGTTCTTAAATTAGCAGAAAATGAAAGTTTAGTTTTAGTTTTCATCTGTATTTCATTGGCTGGCTATAATGATAAATTCTCATTCAAAAGGTCAAGATCTCATTTTAAATAGCCCGATATGTACAGACACTGCTGAATTCAAATGTACTCAAACATACACAAAATGTACTGTTTTTCAACTTTAATACGTTTTCATTGAGTACTAAGAGACAGATTATATGATTTTGTAAAAATCATTGTGGTATCAGAAAACAGCATCCTCTTACCACTTTTGGTGTGCTTGAATATATACCGTTTCATCATAATGCTTGATCGGCCCTTAGCGGGAAGATGGCTTTAGTTTGCGTACATAACCCGTGTCACGCCTCATTTATTTGCCGTGTTGCTGCGATCGTCTGAAGGTTGCCGGCTGTCTGTGTGATCCTGGCTACGCGGGAGCATACTGCACGGACGACTACAATGCCTGTGTAGACAGCCCTTGTCATCCTGGAGTGACCTGCACAGATCAACCTGCACCCTCCCTAGGCTTTTCGTGTGGGCCCTGTCCCGTTGGGCTCACAGGCAACAGGCAGCAAGTGTTTCGGTGTGTACATATTTCACTGTTGATTTTGTTTACTAGTCCGTCATTTGCTACAAATGAATGAGGTGCAGTACAGACACTTTTTAGGAAATCAATGAAGATTTTTTTTCTTCCTGAGTAAAACAAATACATTAAAAACCCACCATATTAAAATAACTTACTGCAGCGATAAAGGCTTAAGAAACGTACTGATTCTTTCAACTGCTGTGGCGGGAGATCGATGAATCAACGACCTTGTGATGAATTGATCAAGAGAATCCACAATGTGCTTGTATGTGCGTGTGTGTCAATTGATTCCTTGCAAAAGAAATGTTGCATCTCAATGGTCATTTTTCTCGTTGAAAATATTGCATCAAAGATTAAAATATGCTAAAAGTTTAATTTGCATTGTCACCTTTTGACAATTAAGTCCGTGTAATAGGATATATACAATAAAAGAGTACACTTACGTTGCCTTCCAGCTCAATTATTGATTTGTATTCATGCTGTCTCATGCTTTCTTTCATTCAGATGTGGACGAATGTCTCAATTCGCCCCCACCATGCGAGCAGACCTGCTTGAATACGCTCAAAAGCTTCGAATGCAACTGTACCACTGGCTTCATCATCAACACAGAAAATAGCACACAATGCGACGGTGCGTTGTGTCCTGCACATTTGTAGTTAAAAATGCCACTCGCAAAATGTAGCCTAAATCGAGGTTGTCAAGTGTAGAGCCTGCAAAACAACGTTACTTCCGAGGATGCTGTGGTTTTCGTATGACACATGGGCTTACCGAATTGCCCTGGGACGCAACAGCGTCTTTCTTAAAATCACGTGACTCAGCAATGTATTGGCCTGACAGCCTCTCATGCTGGGGAAACAAACACATTTTAATACCTGTCAACCCCTTATCAGTGCCTACCTTATTACAGACCAATTCAGACCTTATTGGTCACCCAGTGCCCTTATAAATATCAACGTTTATCCTACAAAGTCCCATCACAATGAAGAAACACAAACAGATAGACAAACATTTTATTGTTGCCCGTATTGAAAGGCTGTACGCTGTATGGACCTGAAAACTCTATTTCCCTTCACAAGAATACGGGTAAACGATATGGGTTTACACGTATGCATTGTCATAGATATATTATGCAATGAGATGTTGTAATTATTTAAGGACGTTACCCCCCAACTTATAGAGTTGGCTAAAGTGTACCCTCCGGAGCTCAACTACTTGATTCCACTCCAGCCTTTAACACAAAAAAACACGTCGATTGTTCTCTTTTTTTATTCCCATAACTTGCTTGCTGGAACTTAATGTACATTTATTTACATCTTAAAATACCGTGTTTGCAGAGATGCTGCTTATATTAGTCGAAACCCCAAACTCGGGGGATAGTTACTCATTACTCATCAACTAATGTTATTATTTTTTGTTTGGGAAGTTTATTGTTTTAACATGTAGTGTTTGACATGTATTGTTTGAAAATGTATTGTTTTAACATGTACAACTTTTCTCTGTGTTTAGACATCGATGAGTGCGCCTTGAACTCTACACTTTGTCGTGCAAATGGCCAATGTGTGAACACACCTGGGGGTTACAATTGTACATGCAAACCTGGATTCCAAGGAGATGGAAAATTATATTGCATAGGTAAGAAATCGCGTGCGATGCTCTACATCTTTGGTTGCTTGGATGATTTTTGAATAACAATGCAAATGCCCTTTTGTAGATGTACACATGCATGGCTCACTTAAAAAAACACATGTGATTGCAGGGTTTCGAACCGTTCATTTTTATTGATCTATTTGTTTACGTGGGTAAGAAACATTTGGCCTCAATCCGATTCACAAGAATGACCCCAACGGTGGACCTTGGTGAAAAAACAAAGAGAGTAACATCAGCGAAGAGATTATAACATTGCTCGACACTGAGTAACAAAGACCATTTAAGGAAAACAAACAACATTTAAGTGGTACTGGAAGGCGGCATGGAAAGATAACCGCAAATCGCGTGGGGTTCACTTACCATGTGTGCAAGAAAGGGACATCTTAAATTAAGTAAAGGGCCGAATTATAGTGCAAAGTTTGCCATGCTTTGTGAGCTTGTGACCTCATCGAAGCAATGCGGTGTGGATGTATCTGGGGCCCATGTACTACATACATGTGTCCAGCCCACGACGACAGGAAATTGTTTTTAATTATTAAGGTGCAATTGTGTAGATATTAGCCCTGCTCGATGTGCTTGCAACCCATGGGTAATGCAATATTAATGGTAGTTGATTGAAACTTGCTCGATCCACTATTGAATGTCCATTTTGTCCTCAAATGTGTTTAAAATACGTTTTTCTCAGCAGTAAATGTATCATCAGATTGCTTGCAGTGAACTGGCTCACTGCATCTCCTCTGACCCATACAGAAAGTATGCTTCATACCGCTCTTTAAATTTATGTAAGAGGTCAAAGAGAACACTTTGCTATTCATGCACTTGCCCCTTTTGAATCTCAATTCATGTTTGTTTTTCTCCTACAGATAAAGATGAGTGTGCATTGGCCACCAATCCCTCCTTTTCCATTAACAATTCGGTCTGCCTGAACAGTGAAGGGTCCTATTCTTGTAACTGCACATCTGGCTACGCTGGACCAAACTGCACAGGTAGTACAATCTTTATACAGTAAAACTATTAGCATATGTGTAAGTGCCCTTTCTGGAAATAAAGCAGGTGTTAAGATGTTCAAACATCAAATAGATACCTATTGCTAGGCATCAAATCTGCATTAACCATACATACTTGTGGTAATACATGCAAATATACATACTCTAATAATTATATATGCATTGTCTTTGAAACTGATTGGCCGACACTGGTCAGACAGGGCCATAAAGAAGACATGTATTGCATAAAGAAGCATGTGTTGCAACAAGTATGTGTGGCTAATGCAGACTTGATTCTGTGCAAACGGTATCTATTGGATGTTAGAACATCTTAACACCTATTTTATTGCCAGAAAGGGTAAAGCCTATTATTATTTTCTCATCGTCTTGATACTGGCAAAAAAGTCCTATTGATATCACTGCATGTAAAAATATATCCATGAATGCATTTAGAAAACAGCATTGAAACACTATATTAAATGACTGTGATATGTACGATCATTCTTTTTTTCAGATATAAATGAGTGTACAAGTGGCCATGATTCATGTCACTCAGATGCCACATGCTCCAACACGGACGGTTCCTACAGTTGCAGCTGCAACACCGGCTACATCGGAAATGGCATGAACTGCGCCGATGAAGACAAGTTTTCGAATGGGAAAAGCAACTGTGATAGGAATTATGCAAACTGTGTGAACACCATTGGATCCTTCACTTGCCTATGTGCCAGCGCATACACTGGCAATGGGACCTACTGCACAGGTATATTTTTTTAAAAACTGTCTTAATGTGGATGAGATTTCTGAAAATGCGACAGGTGGATTGAACACTGGGTGTTTTGTGGTGGAATATTTGCGAAAATATCAAAAGTTTTTTGTTTTCACAGATTTGCTACGTATCATAAAAAATATATTTTAAGTCCATTTGACGTAACATATATGAAGCCCATCACAAATTGATCAAAATGTAGCCTTTGACAAGTATTTGTAACAATATTAGTCATGCACACAAGCTCCATATTTAATGATTTGATTGGCCTCTTGGGCTTCATTTATCTGTTTTGTTGCCTTACTGTGCAATACAATTTGTGGACATAAAACATCTTAATACAATTGTAGTGTCTTGTAAAATCACTCAGACTAACACGTTGTAACAGGTCACCTGCTTACACTGTATTTGCCTATTCTTGCACCTGTTGTCGGCACTCCAATCACTGTCTCTATGGTAACTTCTGTTAATCAAGTCCCACCTCGCTAACCTGCACACAGCAACTCTCGCTCTCAGTAGCTCCGCACTCAGCAGCGCTCACACAGAGGCTTGCACACAGCAGCGCTCACACAGCGGCTTGCACACAGCAGCGCTCACACAGCGGCTTGCACACAGCAGCGCTCACACAGAGGCTTGCACACAGCAGCGCTCACACAGCTTCTCACCCAGCGCCGCTGCCCTCGCCTACATTCCCTCAAACCCATTCACTCGTCCGATCCGGGCGGGGGGATCAACTATCACCCGCCCGGCGACTCGTGAGGGTCGAGGTCCGTCCCCGGCTTGAACGGCAGCGGCGAGACGTCTTCTCTCCCTCTTGTCCCAGCAACACGAACACCCGCTCCGCTCTCACACGTGTCCTTATATCTCCTTCCCAATTGTCCAGCTCCTCCCTAGTGTCGACCTGGTTTGCACCGGCTTCCCCCCCTATTGAGGTGGCGGTTTGCCCGTGCAACCTTATGTTGCACACGCGCACGTGTGTGTCCTAGGTTGCCCTCGGCTAACAGTGTGCGCCACGTATTTTACCACACTACACAATAATTAACTTCACGTTTTCCTGGAAATGTACTCATATTGCCTTGGCTTGATGATTGTAATAATTAATGTTTACCAGAAGGAATATGTGTCATTTATAAATCAGATGGTTGTTAATTCATCTATTTTAATAGTCTAAAATGCGTTTTAAGGCATTTGAAGAATTACCATTTTGTATCAACTGATTTTGATATTATAAATTGAAATGCCATCAACATGTACCTCTTCATGTGCATTTATCAATGAATGCGAGAATACAACCATCTGCCGAGCCAATGAAAATTGCATGAACATACCCGGTAACTATACCTGTGAGTGCAATGCTGGATACAGACGGAATGCAACCCTTTGTACAGGTGAGGCATGGCATAAAACGAATCCCTTATTCACAATCCTTTTCAGTAACGTCCATTAACAAGTTGAATGGCTGTGAAAATTCAACAAAAGTAACTGAGAGATGGCAATATTTGGGTGGACAATACATATATATTTTTAATTTCATGGCTTGACTTACAAAAGACATCACTTAACAATATCTCTCCAGTTACACTAAACGTATCAAGCTGCCATGGTGTAATGGTTAGCGCATCGGACTTTTAAATTTAGAGTTTGCCGGTTCAATGTTATCTCCTGGTGTGACAGTTGGCATAATAAGGAAAAGCGAGCGTGGAAGAAGAGGCCAAAAAAGCCTCTAGAGGGGTTCTCCAGAGCTCACTCTGGAGGGGAGTGGTAGTGCATCGTTTCGGGCAAATCATTCTGAATTCGGTGACCCGAGTTTGATTGCCAGCCGTGGCTAACATGGGTGGCGAGCGACATCTGAATTTTTTCACCAAATCCTCATTGCCCAGCAGGGTGAAGTATGGTAAAATAACCCCCATAACTGACATAGGGGAGACCATCCCGTCAGTTGATTGACATAGGACTGCAAACAAATAATAGTGACTTGTTTTAAACCGGTCTGTTCATCGTCCATGCAGAGACAGAATATTACAAAAAATGTCAAGACTTGAATCCTAAAATAATAGTGTATGGTCGAACTAATTGGTCCATGTTGGTGTGTACAATGTTGCTTTGTTACAATGTAATTATTTGTTTTGAACAGACATCGATGAATGTGTAATGCGGGCGTAAATGGGCGGGGCGGATATGACGATCCGAGAGGGAGGAGTCAGGGTCACGTGGGGGAGAAGTTATAGCGGGGAGACAGGAAGCCATCTGGGTCAGTCGGGGGAGTGAAGGGTGGTGAACACGTTGGGTGGTCGCCGTGCCTCAGCCTGGTGGCTGAGGGGCTCATGACGGCGCCAGCCAGCGGGGTGGAAGAGAGAGTGGAGGATTGAGGTTGGAGATGGCGAGATAGCCACAGAGGCCACGAAGGGCTGAGGTAGGAAGTGGCGAGATAGCCACAGAGGCCACGAAGGGCTGAGGTAGGAGATGGCGAGATAGCCACAGAGGCCACGAAGGGCTGAGGTAGGAAATGGCGAGATAGCCACAGAGGCCACGAAGGGCTAACGTTGGGAGGTGGCGAGATCGCCACGCACGGAGGAACAGGGAGCAGCGATGGAGCTGCTGTGAGAGCAGCCAGAGGGCTGCACCAAGAGCCTGCAGCGGAGCTGCAGGAGCATGGAAGGCTACGGGAGCGAAGGCAGATGTGGGGCTGCCAGGGAGAGAGTCTCAGGAGGAGTGCCGTGTGGGAAGGAGAACGCGAACCCCAAATAAAGGACACGGAGTCAGAGAGAAGCGTCTGAGTCCTTTTATTACACTGGTGTCAGAAGTGAAACGGCATCTCAAAACAACTGAGAGAAAGAAAAAAGAATATTCCTGCGCCATCATCTGCTACATCATCCGACGACGACGACCTTCCTCAGACGGTGGACCTGCCTGCGATGGAAGAGGAGATCCGTTCTGGAACGAGTACGGGTCCGGGTGAGCAAGGTGTCGCCGCGTCGGTGAACCTGTCTGTGCCGGAGGACGCCAACTTACGATGGAGACAGATGGTGATGCAGATGGGGACCTTGAAAATCGTGCTGGCGCAACTGTGTGAGTTCACCACGCCGAGGACGACGTCGGGGAGGCCCGGTGGTGATCCGCAGGCCTCTGCCTTTCCTGCGCTGCCAGCGCCATTGCCACGTGGCACGAAGACGCCATCTTGGGCGTGGCAGGGGAGAAACGGCGGGAAGCCGCCATCTTGTCTTCACCGCGGCGGGAGGACGCCGCCATCTTCAACATCGCGGCGGAGAGGCAGCCTTGCGCTGCCATCTGGAGGTGCCGCGGGGTGAGCAGCCTGCTGTGAGCTGCTGTTTTTCGAGGGGGTGCTGCGAGGAGAAGACGCCGATGCTGCAGCTGCTGGGGCGGGAGCTTCCCGTCCTGGCTCGGGTGCGTGACAACGGAGCCGTCAAGTCGCCGAACGAGTTCTGCGAGGCGTCTCAAGTTGCCACCCTGCCGTCCTCTTCTTGCTGCAGCCCCGGGCGAGTCGTAACGATACGCACCCGGCCTTAACACACACCTCACTCATCCTTCGAGGGCCGGGGGGCTATTTTGGTTTTCTCTTATGACTCGATTGTGCAGAGCGCGGTTCGGACTGTGTGTATGTGTGTGTAATAACGATGAACGCGCTATCTGCTTGTTGCTTGGTGTCAATGTAAGTGTGTGCGTGTGTTGAGAATGGACGGAGAGTCTGCTGTATTTGCTGAGTGTCAAATTGTGTGTGTGCGCTGCTGCGTGGAGTTGAAATCTTGATGGTGAAGTTAATTATTAACTTGGGAGCATCGGGTATCTTGCGCTGTATTATTTGTGGGTTACCTTGTGCGATGGGCTTAATTGGAAAAAAAAAATATTTTTTTTTTTTGGTGTATTGTGCTGCGAGGTGCTGTGTGCGATGCGATTGTTGCAAGAGAGAGAATATTTGTGTTGTTGCTGCAAAGCTACGACAGGATTAATGGTGTGTTGGTTGCCTGCAGATCTGTTTGCTATTGTGCTTAAATGTACGCGTGTGATCGCGATATGCTGACTGCATGTGCTGTTACACCGTTCTGTACGGTTATGGGGTGCGATGCAGTGGTTGACTATTGGAATTGGGATTGTTATTATATTGTGCGTACCTGTTGGGAATTGGTAACAAATTCGAGGGGGACCCAAAAATGTGGTTGTATGGGTGTTGTGCACACGAGATTGCGTGTATATTATAGAGGGGGACCCACAAATTTGGTTGTATGGGTGTTGTGCACACGAGATTGCGTGTATATTATAGGGGTAATTGAGCTTTTTGAAAATGAGGGTGCGCGATGACGCCGTTGTGGGTGGCTTAGATGTTAATGCTAATGGGATCGTAAATGGGCGCCAAGTGGCGTCGTGTATTGGTTGATTGCATGCAGCCACGAGTTGCTTTGCGAGTTGGGTTGTGTAACTAATGTGGTTGGTAAAATATTGGTTAAAATTCCCCGATATGACTGCTGCGCGCAGCAAGCTGGGGCTGTGCGTCTATCGTTGTTGGGGTTGTTACAATTAGACGGGGGATGCATTTTGTGACCCCCAGCATAGGGAAGCTGGGGTGCACGAATGGAGAAAACTGGCCACGTGTTCGCACGTTGGGCCGCCATTTTGCGCGCACGCGGGGTATGGCGACGATGCGCTTTGCGGAAAGGGCCGCCATTTTGAGTGCGCGCGAGAGATTGCGCAAACGCGCTGGGCGAAGGGGGACGCCATTTTGAGCGTGCGGGAAAAACCGGGGTGGGGCAAATATTCCATCTGTTATGCCTGCCATTGTTGATTGGGTGATGCACGAGTTGTGGTCACATCGGCCTATGGCTGATGGCTGACCTGACAGCCCGGAGGCGAAACCTCCATGGTATGTCTTAAACTAATGGGCCATGTGCTCATATGGCTCGGGGAGTCATGGTTCAGTTGTGCGGTGGCAGACTGAACCTGGTGTGCCGGGGGCTCACGGGATCTGGGTTAGGGTGTTATTGTCTCTATAAGAGAACATTGCCCTGTGGGGGGAGTCCATGGGGTCTGGCATTGCCGGGGGATGAACCTTCCCTGGACTATAAAGCGTCAGACTATACGAGGCTGGTGTGTGTCCATCGCTGATGGGATAGTAAGGGAGGAGCATGGCCGAGTGCTGCTCATCCCCGAAATGGCACTAGCCGAGAGTATGGTAAATGGATGTTGCTGTGGGTTGACGACCACGGTGAGGGTTACGGCGGGTTAAACGTCACCGCTGGGGAGCGTGGCTCTCTCCACGCGAGGGTGTGCGATTAGGCGTTTTGTTGGTTTGTTGAGAGTGACTGTGGGTACATGCTGTGTACGTCTGAGGTCTGTGCTGGTCCTCAAGGGAGGACTGCTGGTGGGTAAGAGCAGAATTTTTTTGTTGTTGTTGTTGTCACGTGTAAATAATATTGTTGTTAAAATGTAAATACTGGGGCATCGATCGCGGTTAATTTGGGTAATTATTGGGTTTTTTTTTAAGCGGGCCGGATTTACATCATCTCCACTACCCTGAGGCCGGGTGGCTGTCGTGTACGACATGCGGATGTGCGTTGTTGTGCTGTGCCTCAGGGGATTGGATTCTCCTTCTCGTCACAGATTCTTCAGCTCCCGTCGCACTGGGTGTTACCTGGTGTGCTAGCTGGATGAGGACTTGAAGGAGCAATTGAGCGCCGTTCGTCATTCTGCTCTACCACTTGCTCTTTGATGTTGGACTTGAGCCGAGCGGATGGAACAACAACATGGACACGCTTTGAGACACCACATTTCTGGGTTGTGCGCGTGTGCTATTTTGCGTGTTGGTGGCCGTTGTTGTGCTTTGTGCTATTATTATTCTTGTTGTTCTGTTCCGGTTCCTGATCCTTCCCCTTTTGTTACTTGTTGTTGTTATAAGGTCTATTGTGTCTGGCGGACTCCTGGTTGTGATGCCTTCGCCCGCATTATTTTGTTCTGTTTCAGCCGAGGACGGCTGGAATTTTCTCTACGGGGGAGGGTAGTGTAATGCGGGCGTAAATGGGCGGGGCGGATATGACGATCCGAGAGGGAGGAGTCAGGGTCACGTGGGGGAGAAGTTATAGCGGGGAGACAGGAAGCCATCTGGGTCAGTCGGGGGAGTGAAGGGTGGTGAACACGTTGGGTGGTCGCCGTGCCTCAGCCTGGTGGCTGAGGGGCTCATGACGGCGCCAGCCAGCGGGGTGGAAGAGAGAGTGGAGGATTGAGGTTGGAGATGGCGAGATAGCCACAGAGGCCACGAAGGGCTGAGGTAGGAAGTGGCGAGATAGCCACAGAGGCCACGAAGGGCTGAGGTAGGAGATGGCGAGATAGCCACAGAGGCCACGAAGGGCTGAGGTAGGAAATGGCGAGATAGCCACAGAGGCCACGAAGGGCTAACGTTGGGAGGTGGCGAGATCGCCACGCACGGAGGAACAGGGAGCAGCGATGGAGCTGCTGTGAGAGCAGCCAGAGGGCTGCACCAAGAGCCTGCAGCGGAGCTGCAGGAGCGTGGAAGGCTACGGGAGCGAAGGCAGATGTGGGGCTGCCAGGGAGAGAGTCTCAGGAGGAGTGCCGTGTGGGAAGGAGAACGCGAACCCCAAATAAAGGACACGGAGTCAGAGAGAAGCGTCTGAGTCCTTTTATTACAAATGTGCGGAATCACAGCCATGCGACAAGAAAACCAAGATATGCATAAACAACAATGGCTCGTACACATGCATCTGCAATGCAGGATACCAGCTGGACGCCTACGGCAACTGTACAGGTAAACAAGCGGACGCATCTCAACCCGCACAACATGCGTGTGGCACTCGATGTTGTAAGAGTGAGGGAAGGAATGTCTTCTGCACGTGATAGCTGGTTTTTTTGGGACAGTTTGTCGTTTAGTGTTTTGTTTAAATAAAAAAACAACACTTTACCCAGGTGATTACTCTATGTTTTTACTTATTTAATTATCCTGCAATGTGCAAATATTGCTGTATCACGTAAAAATTGTGCAAGATTCTTAAATCACCTGCCCACCCCCCGCCTCTGTACACCCAGAAGTATAAATGGACACGCTGCCGGTTGTGGTGAATTGCGGTGGGGTAGAAAATATGGGTACTCCCACCCCTGTCAAGGCGTCCGGCCATCGTTGACGAGTACGCCGGGATATACCCCCTAGATGCCTGAGGTCTTTATCCAGGAGCTTCCTCGAGTGATAGTGTGAGAAAGGCACTTCATGGCTGCACCGTTGCATTCACTCTGTACGACATTCATCTCAAGCCAAGGGCTGTCCGCAGTCAAACGAGTCATATAAATAAATAAACTATAAACTTTTAATTTTTGCCAGGTAAGGCTCACTGAGCTGTATAGCTCTTTTTTTTTAGAAGCGACCTGGCCATCACAAATGACAGCTCAACGCAGTGGTTTATTGTGTTGAAATGTATATCAGCCACATATTCTAAACACGTGATGGTGATTCTAAATGTGGAGGGAAAAACTGGAGGACCCAGAGAAAAATAAATGCGACCACGGGGAGAGAGACATGCAAACTCTAAATATACAGGCGTCAGGGTCGGGATCAAACCCACAACCTCCTGTACACCGAGCGAGGTAGCTGACATCTCGTCACCGGAGTCATCGCTCGCCTTCAATTGATGGCCATGAGTCCGAAGTAGAAATCGCGTATTCCCATGGCGTTGACCACAGGGCAACAGCAAGCTGCCGACCCTTTACTTATTCTTGTCTTTGTCCGTCAACAATTGAGAAATTAAGGGTTGAGTTGACACCCAACTCCGCTCATCGCTCTCCCAAAGTAAATGATGTAAAAAAACAAAACCGGGAGCAAATGAACGAATGAAGGTGAACTTGCTGTGCTCTTTTTGAACGATTTGTCTCCTTTTGTTTTCAAGATATCAACGAGTGTGCCATCACATCCCTGAACAAATGCATGGCGGAAAGTGTCTGCCAGAACTTTGATGGCAGCTACTCCTGCCAGTGCAAGGCTGGATACAGGGATACTGGAGGAAACTGCACCGGTAAAAATATTTAAAACAACAAATCATTTGTTGCAACTTCACACAGCACACATCTACCCAGAAGTTATTATGTAACTCACATACAGTTTAGGAACATGCAGGGTGCAAAAAAAAATGTAGGTGCCCTCTTCAGACACTAAAGGTCTTTTTTTTCCTATGGTTGTTTCTGCTGCTTGGCTGTGGTTTATAAAGCCTGTGCAGTCTTTATTGGAGGTTCTTAGCTTCCTGCCCAGTGCACTCACAACTATTTTAGAGGTGTTGGTAGTCAAATAGAGGGAGGTTTAGGATTTATGCAACGAAACACTCTTTCTTCGTCATGTAACTGTGGAAGGCCATCAGATAGAGCCAATGATATATCAGAATCTAAACATGTATTTATACTGGAAGAATCCGATGAGCTGTAAAGCTCTTGTCACAGATGTCCAGTCGCGGCAGGTAAGAATGTTACAACAACAAACAGTACAAAAACACGATAGGAGTGCAAAATATTAGAAAGGTAAATAAATCACCCAAACATACAAATAACACTAAACCATCCCCATCCTACCAGGCAACGTCCATTGAGGTATTAACTTATTTTTCAGAAGCAACCTGGCCACAAATGATAGCTCAACAAAGTCGGCCATCATTTGGACAATTATAATTTTGCCAGTTCAGCTTAATATGAAATAAAAATTGGGGTATATCCACAAAGAAAACAAGTGAGCATATCTTGTGAGTCCAATCAAAATTAACATAGATCTAACACAAAATTATAGCTCACTGATGGTTTTTCGGCTTGCACCACGTGTTGTCCTGCGTGATGTCCGATGTTTCACCCGGACGTGTCAAGTGCTTCTGCAGGAGGCTCAGGCACTGAAGGAACTGCCCGACACCCAGAGTGGAAACACATCGAATAACTATAGAGCACAAATGCAAACACACTCAATTATCGAATTATTTTAGAAGTGCTAAAATAAAAACAACCGTAATTAATCGATTCGGTATTATTCTCTACATGTATGCAGACAATAATGATTGAGCGTTGCAAACAACCATCATATTATGCGGTCTGTGATTTAATGATAATACTTTTTGCTTTTCAGACATTGATGAGTGTCATCCACCAATGAACACATCTCAGCCTTGCAAAGGCCCAGTTGGTGTCAACTGCACCAACACCCCTGGCCTTTTCAAGTGCACTTGTCCACCTGGATATTACCTGGAAAATGATGGAACAACCTGCCTAGGTCTGGAAATAATGAAAGATGTTTAGGTGTAATTGAGAATGAAAGACATAAGCATTGTTTATGTATGTGGTTGGAAGCATAGATTGTGATTTTAACATGGTTCCATTCACTCTTCTGACTGTCATTCCAACAGATCTGGCTAGAAAATGATACCCCATAGGATATGTTTGTAAAATACCTACAGCAGATAATTGCATTATAAAATGAAATAAGTATAAAAGACAATGAGTGGCAGGCGAGGAATGGAATGTGTGTGATGGTTCGGTGAATCCAGGCTGTGTGCAGATGCAAGGTGCATTTTACAGCGTAGAACCATCAAAGATGGTGACTGCTTGGGAAGGCCTTCATCCAGCAGTGGATTGATCATGGCTGATGGTGATCATGATGAACCGTTCTCGACAATTGTATGCATTTCAAATGGCTATGAAACTACAAGTATATCTTGAGCAATAATAATACATAGAGGACCTACTATTCGCGCGTGACGGATTGAACATTTACTGATTGCTGCAAATGCCCTCGTCACCTTTTATTCAGATGTTGATGAATGTGTGAAAAGTCTTCACAACTGCTCTCAGAACTGCACGAACACTCAAGGAGGCTATGAGTGCAGCTGCTTCGATCTCTTCAGCAACGTGAATGGCACTTGTCAACGTATGTAGAAGACCAAATACCGTTTTTTTAACTGTCACGTTTTATTTTTTATACAATGCTATTTTATATTAAACGGTGGAGATACATTTGATTGCAAATGGCTTGAAAACGTTATAAACGATGTTTGAGATATGGATGTTTCAAGGATACGTACTGATTGGAATTGGCACAGAAGTGTTAATTTGTCGTTGTACTGTACTTCTGTGCTCCCTACCTTCACCAACCTGCACTGACCAGCATCAAGTATGGCCAAACAAACCATGACCCACATTGCATGAGTAGGCCATCATCCCACAGTGAATTAACAAAGGGCATTAGATGTACAATACATATAATGCCTAACAAACAGCATGCAGTACTTTTGATATATTATGACTGAATTAACCAAGATCTTACTTGGACCACTGGACAGCCCTGGCCAATTAATATGGCCCTGAGTCTCATCAACAGGGCTTTGTCCCTGAAACAATAGCTCGCAGGTTGCTTGGTGTCAGAAGCAAGAGCCATCCACAAATAACGCAATGCCTTGCTTACAACAAATGTGCTGGAAAACAATTCATCAGTCAGGCATTTGGTTGATGGACTTAAATGTCATATGCGACACCAATTAATGTAAAGCTAATAAAGTTATATATTTTTTTGAATGTGAGAAATAATAATCATGAATGTTGTGTTATTTTTTCCTTGCAGCAAATATTTCTTGTCAGGCAGATGTATGCAATGCAACGGGCACCTGTTACATAGACAGCACGAATTCCAAAGCCTGTGCCTGTAATAATGGGTATGTATCATTCATTGTGCCTGGACTATTAGCAGATCTCACAGACCACCGTGACATTGTTTGAGCCTTCCTGTTTTTATTTTGATAATCTATTAAACATTTCCTACTCAAACAGTAATAAATGCAGTGTTTTCGAACTGTGTTTTTGGATGCACAGACCTTTGAAGCATTATCCCTAATGTACTCTATTTTTTATAATTCATGTCAATGTGCTCAAATTTTATCAGCTAATATATTTTTTAAGCTCATTCATTTAAATTGTGCTTCTATTTAAACTAATTAGAAAGCGTATCACGTTTTGTTTTACTTCTTCCACTTTTATTAGTTATTTTACTTCATCATTGCATTGCTCTTCTATTTTTAAACTTGTATTATGTTCTTTATGTTGTACATTGTATTGTCCACTTCTACCGCATTTAAATCACGGAACAGTAGTGTACACTATTTAAATAATGAGAAACAGCTACTTTGAACACGAAATTTATTTTCATTCCAGATATATTCTAAACGGCACGAGCAAAACGGATTGCATCAATGTTAATGAGTGCAGCATATCCGTGGCTAACAGACAGACGCCTTGCGACTCCAATTACGGGACGTGCAGTGACACAATCGGCAGCTTCACGTGTGGCTGTGTGTCTGGGTACACGATCGGTAGCGACGGCCGGACCTGCAAAGATGTGAACGAGTGTGAGATCGGAATCGACAACTGCACTCAACATTCCACGTGTTATAACTTTGAAGGAAATTATACCTGCACCTGCAATAATGGATATGCCAGTAAGTTTGCACAATAGGGGGGCACAGGTGGTGCATCTGCCAGTCATCTCAGTCATTTAACCCATGGCACCTGGATCTGTCCGGTGAGCTCCTGTACCTAGCCTGGCACAGAAGACAACCCATGGTACCTGGGTCTGTCCCGTGACCTGTCAACGAGCCTTCCGACACTTCATGTGGCCTCAAAGTGCACCTGGCCTGGCACAGGCACCGTGGTGACGTCACCGTCACTTAGTGGCCAATGGCGGGTATTGATATGTCTGTGTTTGGTGGACAGTTCTATAGTACCTGCATGAATGAAAACCTTCGCAATAGTCACATGTTGTTTGAGTTATACGGTGGTGTACACGTAAAGTTACATTAAGCTTTAATTGTAAACTGTCTTCTTAAAGAAAGTACTTTATTATATCTCTGGTAATTGTGTGTGCGATGCAATCGAGAGATGAATTGGAATAAAAGCTGTGATGTCCACTTTTTCACAGCTTTATCGTATGCTATGACAAAAAGTGTGTTTGGAAGGGGGAAAGGGAAATTATAAACATGGGTTGGTAACGTTTTCACGGCCAACGCTTTTTTTCAGTGAGTGGAAGTCAATGCGCAGATGTGGACGAGTGCAAATTTGCCGGTGGTGCTGCATGTGCGGCAGGGTCTGCGTGCTGTAACCCGTCCGGTTCATTCAATTGCCCATTGTCTTGTGGGATATACGCTTGTGGAAAATATTTGCCAGGATGTGTATGAGTGCTTGAGCCCGCAGCACAACCGCAGTGCAAATTCAAATTGTATGAACACCCAAGGATCCTACCGACGACAATGCGATGATAGATTTCAAACTATGTTCAACTGTGTCGCTCACCCTCTGTGTCTGTTATAAAATTAATATTCAAGTTTCAAGTTTATGTGGACAATAAACCAGGATATTCTCATTTGCAAGCGTGAACTAAGGCATTAGTCCGCCAGTAGGGGGGCAATGACTGCGAGTCCCAGTTGAGTAATTTGTCGTGGATTTTTTTTATTTTTGGCAAATTTTGACCCTGATGCTGACACAACGTCCCACCCTCACGAACGATATCAGGCGGACCTTTATGTCCACCGTGAAGCAGACGGCGTCCAGCACAATCATGGTAATGGCACAGGAGCAACGATATTTGGAGCAGCCGCTGGATTCGAACTGCGAGTCTGTAGCAAACGGAAGGATGCGTTACTGCCAGGCCACATTTCACTCTGGTGCATCTGTGCATAGCAATTACGATGCAGAATTCGCACTCGAATCCGCTTTAATTTGTGGCACGTGCAATGATTTGCGGAATTACAAGTGTGAGAACAATAATTTCAGATTGTAAGAAGCTGGTTAAAACGTCATAGACTGCACTCTAGTTATTTCCACGTTATCTGCCGTCATACTTGTGTTTTAGATTGGTGCTAACCGAGCATCGCCTGAGTAATGAAATATGCCTGTGTCAATAGGTAATGGGGCACTATGCGTGGACTTTAATGAATGTGGGAGAAATACAGCCGACTGTGGATCTGGAACCAGTTGTGAAAATACAGTGGGGTCATACAACTGCCCATGCATTCAAGGATATCAGCGCACCACAAGTAAACGTCTCATTTAATATTCCTCTTATTAAAACTTGAATGTGCAATACTGTGCATTTGTGTAATTATTTTAATAAGGAACAAATTGTATGCATTTCATTATTTATATAGAGATTTTAAAAAATGTGCATCTTAATTACCCATTTTAGGAAGGTCTTAATACGTTTAGCTACTTAAAATAAAGTAACTGTTTTGTGGGGGCCTTTGGTGGCTGATGCAAAAATATGGTTCCTGTTGTTGACTCTAACCTGACTCCTATCTCCACAATGTGCACCTTTCCGGATACAACCTCCCAGCTCTTCATCCGTTTCCTCATTCCGCTTCTGCTGATTTTCGCTAACTCACTTCTGCAGCTTCCCTTTTGTTTTCCCCGATATCGCGGCCGGGGATTACCAGCAAAATGTCCCGCTTGTACTATATATACCTCCATATTGCTGAACTTCCACGAATATTTTTCATATTTGTTGACAAAAAAACCTCAATAAAAAGGGGGGGCTTTTTGAATTGAATAACTGGAGTAAATCCTCTTATTAGGAGGCTGGTTGTGATGGGCCACTTCACCACTCAAAGGATTTCGGAATCTCATAGCACATGATGAAATTGGCGCGATTCACCAACCCGACCTACAGAATCGCCCGACATAACCCACCATACAAGGCTTTAGATAAATTCCATATCTATAAAAAAAATATTTATCATGAGTGTTTATAAAACTCTAATGTCATGTTTTTGTCCCCTCCTATGACAGATGATACACATGCAAATTGCACAAGTAAGTCCACATTATTTACATACCTTTTGTCCATCCACTGCGATATGCAGACTCCCACCGCCTCCTACCACACCCTTGTCGGGCATGGTTGTTGTTGACGATGCTTAACCATGCTTGTCCGTGCGGGCGGGTGATGGAGGTCACCCAGAACCTGTGTCGCGTATTTCGCTCTCCGGCAATGCCTAAACGCTAACTGGTCTTTGGATGAAACAATTACATTTTAAAATGTAAAACAAACACGTTTTAATTAGTGTACGTGCATAATATACAGTATTTCAATTACGTGATTAATGTAATGCATGTGAGGATATTTATTAACAATGTATGTTGAATATGTCGCCAGTTCCTTTGATTTGTTTTTGTTTTCTTTATTTTCTTTTCATCTCTTTTATATTGTTGTATTATACGATGAAATGCGAACTGATGTACAACACATTTTGTGCTCGCAATTATACAGCATTTTTTCTAAACAACTGCACCTTAGTATTCCAGAAAAAAGGACACTATTCAATGGAGTATAATTCGTATTCTTCAATTCAAATGCAAAAAATGTACAACAGGAGCTGAATAAAAAAAATTAAAGAATGAAAGATTGTAATCTTGTGCAGCATAAAGTAGTGCCATCACATGTAGGTTCTCTCAGTACTTCATACATCCAATTTGTATTGCATCCTCTGATGTTTATTTGAGACAGGCCAGGTGCCTCAGTGGTAGAACAAGCAGCTCAACAATCGGAAGGTTGCGAGTTAAAATCCTGGATGTGGTTGTCTCAACCTGTCAGTCATTCCTCTGGGGTGGGTAAAACGAGTACCATTTTTTGGGGGGAGATCAACAATAGGTGTCCTATTAAGAAAGTTTACATGACTGGCTCAGAACTGCAAAACTGTAAGGCAATGAGCACTACCTCGCTAATCATTTGAGCGAGAAGTCACTTTGACTTTGACCTTTAACAAAAAGTTGGCAAATTGAATTACGTGTTGAATAACCATTTTTGGTAATATTAATCCAACAGTTCAAACGACTACACCGCCTCAAACAACAGGAATTACCAATACAACACAAGCCTCACCCTCTGCAGGAGTTTATTTTACAGCCAATACATCAAGCTCAACAAGAGCACCATTAACAGAAATTTCTACAGACGGAGTTAATTCTACGATTGTCTCAAGCCCAGCAACAGCCTCACCAACAGCAACTTCTACAATTGAAGTTAATTCTACGATTATCTCAAGCCCAGCAATAGCCTCACCAACAGCAACTTCTACAATCGGAGTTAATTCTACGATTGTCTCAAGCCCAGCAATAGCCTCACCAACAGCAACTTCTACAATTGAAGTTAATTCTACGATTGTCTCAAGCCCAGAAACAGCCTCACCTACAGCAACTACAATCGGAGTTAATTCTACGATTGTCTCAAGTCCAACAACAGCATCACCAATCACTGTTCCTACAGACGGAGTTAATTCTACGATTGTCTCAAGCCCAGCTACAGCCTCACCAACAGCAACTTCTACAATCGGAGTTAATTCTACGATTGTCTCAAGCCCAGAAACAGCCTCACCTACAGCAACTAGAATCGGAGTTAATTCTACGATTGTCTCAAGTCCAACAACAGCATCACCAATCACTGCTCCTGCAGACGGAGTTAATTTTACGATTGTCTCAAGCCCAGCTACAGCCTCACCAACAGCAACTTCTACAATCGGAGTTAATTCTACGATTGTCTCAAGCCCAGAAACAGCCTCACCTACAGCAACTAGAATCGGAGTTAATTCTACGATTGTCTCAAGTCCAACAACAGCATCACCAATCACTGCTCCTGCAGACGGAGTTAATTTTACGATTGTCTCAAGCCCAGCTACAGCCTCACCAACAGCAACTTCTACAATCGGAGTTAATTCTACGATTGTCTCAAGCCCAGCAATAGCCTCACCAACAGCAACTTCTACAATTGAAGTTAATTCTACGATTGTCTCAAGCCCAGAAACAGCCTCACCTACAGCAACTACAATCGGAGTTAATTCTACGATTGTCTCAAGTCCAACAACAGCATCACCAATCACTGATCCTGCAGACGGAGTTAATTTTACGATTGTCTCAAGCCCAGCTACAGCCTCACCAACAGCAACTTCTACAATCGGAGTTAATTCTACGATTGTCTCAAGCCCAGAAACAGCCTCACCAACAGCAACTTCTATAATCGGAGTTAATTCTACGATTGTCTCAAGCCCAGCAACAGCATCACCAATCACAGCTTCTACAGACGGAGTTAATTCTACGATTGTCTCAAGCCCAGCAATAGCCTCACCAACAGCAACTTCTACAATCAGAGTTAATTCTACGATTGCCTCAAGCCCAACAACAGCCTCGCCAACAGCAAATTCTACAATCGGAGTTAATTCTACGATTGTCTCAAGCCCAACAACAGCCTCACCAACAGCAAATTCTACAATGGGATTTAATTCTACGATTGTCTCAAGCCCAGCAACAGCATCACAAATCGCAGTTTCGACGGACAGAGTTAATTATACGATTGTCACAAGCCCAGCAACAGTATCACCAATCACAACTTCTACAGACGGAGTTCATTCTACAACAAATGCTTCGACCACAGCAACATCTCCAGTTTCCCCCATTGTAGGGCAAACTTCAACAACCGTTTCCTCTACAACAGGCACTTCCTCTAGTCCAATAACTGCAACATCGACCAGCAGGACAAATGTGACAGCTGATACTCTCGGTTCCACGTCAGCCACAACTGTGACTTCGACTGTTCCACCTACTTCACAGTCAACCGTGACGGTGGCTCAGAACACAACGGGCACTTCAGCTCCATCAGGTGCAACCGCGTCTTCGACTGTTATAGTTCCGCCATCCACATCTTCAACCGCGACATCGACGTCAGTCGGGACAACGACCACGTCGCAGCCATCCACAACCACCACACAGTCTCCCACGCTTATAGGTGAGGTCACGTCGTGGTAAGCTAGGTACATTGTGACGCGTTGTAAGCGAGCAAGATGCGTTTGCTGGCTGAACGTGTATGGCTATGGTGTAAGTGCGATTTTGCGATGTCTTATTTTGGTTAAACACGTCGGCTTTCATGATCAATATTATCCATAATTGAGGTTTATTTGGGTTAAATTGTGTAAATATAAACGTTTTGTTAAGCCCGCCACCACCCGACACAGCCAATTAGTGAGGTTTGTCACGTGATTGTCACGTAATTGGCATGTGTTTTACGTACAACCCTTATTAATTGGCTGTTGGGTGGTGGCGGATATAACGACACATTTATATTTCCCCGATCTAACCCAAAAAAACACGTGTTATCGAAGTCTTATTTTAATAATGAGATTCACTTGCTCCAAATTAAATTAATGTTAGAGTATAATAGACGCGTGCGTTTTGGTTGATTAATGTTTGAATGTGTCTGTGTCTTCTTTCATAGATTACAGACTTTTTGCATATGGCACAAATGTAAACGATATCATTCTGCAGTCCCGATTGACAGACTTTGTGTCTCCGTACTTCATGCCACCCTATGATTTTCCTTTTGGTTCCAAGTTCTTCCAGAAACTATACGTAAGTACCGTAGTGGCAGTGCTCAGTGTAAAATATCTCGTGCAATATTTTTTTTTTTAATTCTCATTCAAGTTAGATGTAATCTACTATACTGTGTGTGAAAGTCATATTTCTATAGATTATAATTGTTTTTAGTGAGATTGTAACAATTACATTTTTATCGTACCGTTGTGTACATTTAATATATGGTAAATGGTGCTCCTGACACAGTAATGGATATATCATCTTTATATTGTGAGAATAAGTGTCTGTAGAACAATATCTGCTGATACTGCAATAAGTAATGCCCTAGAGATGGCACTCCTTCATATAGCCTCGAAGGAAGGATACGCCGAAGTAAACCTGACTACATTTTGAAGTCACATTCCCTTGCCAATACAGTTGTGTTAAAATTTGAATCTCCGCGAGAATACGTATTTATAAGATGACTTACACCAATGTCATCACATGCTGCATATGCACACCTGTCAAGCCCTTATCAGTTCCTACCTTATTACAGACCAATTTAGACCTTATTGGACACCCCATGCCCTTATAAGTCTCAACGTTCATCCTACAAAGTCCCATCACAAAGGAGAAACACAAATTGATTTGTTTTCGCCGTACTGAAACGGCTGTACGCTGTATGGACCTGAAAACTCTATTTCCCTGTACAAGAACACATGGTAAACCTATGGGTTGACAGGTATGCATATGTTGCTTTGTAATGATCTGCTATTCCTGTGTTCCAGTTTTCAGACAATGGGGTGATCGTCTTCCAGCAAAGTGAAGAGACGAATACATTTTCCTATCCAAATCCCTTCTCCAGTGGCTTTCCAACTTCATTCTCAGTCACAATGATTGCTGTCTTCTGGGATGATTCTGACTCCTCGTCGAATGTCGGCAAGATCTATTATCAGGTTTGCCATGACGACTGCACTCCGCTTAATTCATGAATTACACATTTTCAATACAGATTGCATTGGTCGTGTGATGTTTTTTTTAATCTTGTCCCTTGCCTTTAGCAATTGCGTGCGTAGGTTATCATACAGCATCATCATGGGAATTTCATCTGCAGTATCGATCCAACGATATACTGCTTTTATGTTTCTAAACACACATTAATGCGTGGAGAAATGTGTTTTCGTTCTTTGAGACAATGTGTAATTTCCTTTATATTGTAGTCAAAAAAAGTTGCAGTAATTCCCTGCGCAGATGAGCATTGAGGCAGTGCTCATCTCCCGTTTATGGCCCTGAGCTGGTGGAGGAAAGTTCCACATTTCTATGTTAGAGCGAGTCTATCCAAAGGACAATTGCTGCTGACTTCGCCACAAAATGGTAACTCATTTTGTTGGCTCCAGAGGCTTTGGTGGGCAGAGTCAACGCACCAACCAGGATTTGAACTTGGAACCTTTCGATTTAGAGCTTCTCACTCCACCGCTGGCCCAACTGGCAGGATTATCTCTATTGGGACAAAAATATATAATTCAAAGTCTAATACAGTCATTCAAGTTAACTCAACCCCGCTTTTTTTGTTGAATGCAGGAGTATGATTTTACGGACGGCAAAGTCCAAACTTCGCACGCAAAGGAACTTCGGCAGATGGTGCAGGCGCAGATCAGAGCCAACTTCACGCAAACGGAAGTGCAGACCTACACGCCCGTATGGATGCTGAAGATCACGTGGGAAAACGCCACAGCTGTGCCAGCCAACAGCAATTTGAATTACGTAAGGATGTGATTTATAGTATTCATCAAATGTCGATGCACATTTAGATTTACCCACCCCTGGCCGTCAAGCCCGAACACTCACTAATGCCATCATATAGCCCAAACGCTCACTATTGGCATGAAATAGCCCTCTTTGTAAAGGTCATCTCAGGCGTACCTTATTAAATAATTGCACTTACATTACAGTGCACGTACGAGAAACGACGTACTCCCTTTTAAATGGCAAGGGCCGTTTTCTCTTTCCGTTGACCAGCCGTCACAGAGCAGGGGCCGATTGGTGCGAGACGTTTGTGTTCCATTGATAGATGGACTTGAACTGGTGAAAACCCAGGAAAATTGGACTGGGTAAAACGCGAGGAAATTGAACTGGTAAAACATATTCGGTTAGAGATCCATCGGGGGTGACTTATTTGGAATTGATTTGAAGGAGGGGGGCCCTGTTTAGAATATTTCGAAAAGAGCAGTAAAAAGTATAAAATGGGGCATGAATAGAACTCTGATCGCCTTTCAGATAGAGCTTCCTACGAGTGAGCGTCATTGTGCGGCTGACTTAATAAAGAGCCATACCTAAAGCGCAACTAGTTGTGGACTGCTTCTAATATTGATATTAAAATTTAGTGTAATGGTAATGATGATGATGCGTATTTACGCTTCTTTGTTTTAACCACTGGGTATGTGTCTTTCTTTTTGTTTCAGACAAACACATTCCAGGCTGTGATTAGCACCGATGGCGTCTACTCATTCTGCCTGATCATGTTTAAGGATGGAGGCATGCAATGGAGGACGGAGGCTAGGGACAAGCTGGCAAACAACGCTTTTATAGGATTCAACAGGTGGGTGATCGAAGTCAGCTTTGGCCCTCTTATGATTAAACATTCCGTTAAGATTTTATCTCAAAGAAGCATTTCAAATCGAGCACAACCTGAAATTGTATTCGTCAAACATTCTAAAGCAGTGCTTCTCTACCTTGACTGCAGCCTTACATCCCTTTTGTTCTCAAGTGTAAACAAAATGATAGTAAATACATGGGGTTTGATGAAACAAAATAGTTGCACTTAGGTGACCGTGCTCAATTTGTGTTTCGTTCATTTACTTTCTAAAAAAATCTGGCATGTCTTGCGCCCCCGGCAGGTATGTGTACACCCCGGGTGAAGAACCACTTCTCTAAAGCAAATGCATAAAAAAAACATTCTCTAAAGTAGGCAAGGCAGCGTCGTCACCATCATCAGCCACATTTAATCTCCGGGGTAGCAGAGGTGTTCTTAATAAACAATGATTTAACACACTTCACTCATTTCTGTGAAGTGGAACACAACAACAATCGAGTGGCCTAGCGGTATGCAATGCAGTACAGCATTTAGGTTTTATCCTCGGAGTATTTAAAGCGCAATGAGGCTACACACTATAACATTCACTGCTTTAACACCATCTACTTTTGTTTGCCGCTTGTGGAAATAGCATGTGCTTGTATTTGATTCTAAAATGCCACGTTTTTATCATCTTTGTCAAGTGGAACATCTGCCGCATACATCGACCCAGTGTCATTGAATGCAACAACCAAGTATCGTCCCGACCAGGTCAAAGGATTGCTTACTGGTAAACGTGCATAATGTGGTGTATATATGTTTATATATTGTTTATTATCAGCCTATTACTGGATGTCCTCAGAAAGATGTTGCCCACTGACATAGTAACCCACCTCAGTGCCTCGCACGCCAACTGAATTAATCGCTCCATCTTCCCGGTGGACGTCCTCTCGGGAACATTCCCTCCCCCTAGCTGCCACTTTTATATTTATTACCCTTCAGGCAAATCACTTGCATGAACACTGGAGTAAAATTTGATCGCCTTCAACTTGTATAGGTTTTCGAATCCAAGTGATCCTCTAAGTCTCTATGCAATTCCGAGGATGCACTACCACCTCTACACACTTCCTTTGTGAACTTTTCAGTTTTTAATTCAGTTTTATTTTGTACACGTCCACGTGTCTGATCCATACACCGTAGCAATGTTTACAAAAACATACTTCCGAGAGCAAACGTTCATGCGGGAAAGCATTACGGAATCCATGCTGATGCATTCATTTCCCCACTTGGCTCACTTTAAAACCTAACACGTTCACACTTTAATCATTTTAGGGAGCATAATAATTTAGTGGGAGGGTCGGTAGGTGAGTGGGGAGGGTAGGTGAGTGGGGGTGTAGGTGGAATGGGAGTAGGTGGGTAGGTAGGTGGGTGGGGAGGTGAGTAGGTGGGGGGGTAAGTGGGTTGGTGAGGTGGGTGGGTGGGGGGGTAGGTGGGTGGGTGGGGAGGTAGGTGGGTGGGGGGATAGGTGGGTGGGTGGGGAGGTAGGTGGGTGGGGGGATAGGTTGGTGGGTGGGTGGGGGGCCTAGGTGGGGGGAGGTGGGTGGAGGGTGGGTAGGTAGGTGGGTGGGTGGGTGGGGGGGTAAGTGGGTGGGTGAGGGGGCTGCGTGGGGGGTAAGTGAGGGGCAGGTGGGTGGTGGGGGGTGTGTAGGTGGGTTGGTGGAGAGGTGGGTGGGCTGAACCTTCAGCAGAGGAGCTCAACCGCCTCTAAATCCCTCCTGCCCCACCGGATTTCACGACGCTTTAGGTTTGATGCAGAGAATACGACTTCTAAATAAAACATTTGTACACATATGGTCGTTATTTTGTATGGTGATGATGGTATCTTAATACCGTATATATTTTTAACCCTTATATGGAAATCAAGAGTTAAACAATATATTATTCACACAATGCTAACAGAGTAATGATTTTGTTTTGTTCAGGCCTAAATGGAAGATTCGCCTACAATCTGACAGACATCGTGCCAAATAGAAAAAATACAAAGCATCAGTGTCTGAATTGGTATTCAAACGATACAGCTCAGCCGTCTATCAACCCCATCAAGAGCTGTCCCTGTTCCTTTTGGCAAGGAATGTTTGACATGTCCTACGTGGATGGAAACCTCATCACCACGTACAGCTACCATCTTCCATATGTCCCGGGTAAATGTTTATCGAATATTTACTTGCATTGCATTGGTCGAAATGGAAGATGGAAAATCCTGGTATGAAAACATATTCCTCCTGTAGCCCATGTCATCAGTTGTTATCTCTCAAAAAGAAAGAAGACGAGTGTTTGCTTTCGGTTAAAAAAAAAGTTCTAAACAGTGCCCGGTGTGTACCCATGTTGTGTTCTGAGAAGTGTCGGTGTGGCATATCGTCGTATACTGGCCAGTTTGCATCACTGCGATCATGTGTTGTGATGTAACATTGTTTTATTACATTGTATTGTAAAGCAATGTAACTATCTCTCAAGTCATGCTGGAAGACAAATTGACATATTTATTCCAGCTCACAAAATATCCCCCAAAATGCACCCACTGTTTTATTAAATACATTTAGCAGGGCAAAATATGAGAACTACAAATTACATTCATATTTAAAGGCTTTTATTTATGTATATAAAATGCTGATAACTCTGTGCCTTTCTCCTTTACTCCTTCTACACGTGCTATCGTTCCCTCTTGGGCCAAAATAAAACCCCGCTCTCCATTGTATATGTGTTTAACGCACATTGTATGTCATCCGTAAATATTTTTTTCCTTTACCCTCTTGTGCTAAGACCAAAGTTGATTATTTTTGTTTTTTCCCAGGTGCATTTTGGAGTCTTCAAAACTTCTGGACAGATGCCAATGGTGGAGGGGTGAGATGCCACTACAACCGGTGGGGCGCCCTGGTGTCCAGGTGGTATGAGCGCTACCTCCCCACCCCCTGGACGAGTTCGTCAAGAGTAACGAATCAGCAGTACCTGAGTAAGCCCCAAAGTTTAAATAGTTTAACCTGGTCAACTCAAGAGGTCAAAGGTGCAGCCGGGGCAATTCGCTTGCTCACGCTACTGTTGGCAGAAGGGCCTCCCACAAGAGGGAGCTCTGGAGAGTCCCTCTGAGAGGGTCATTGGCCTATTCTTCCATGCTGGTTTTGGAAGAGGTGGGATTACCCACACATTATCCCACCACACATGACCTGAGATGTTAGCTACTTCACCTGGTATACAGAAGGTCGTGGGTTTGATCCCGACCCCGATGCCTGTATATTTGGAATTTGCATATTATTTCCCCATGGTCACGTGGATTTTCTCTGGTCCTTTGGTATTTCCCTCGACATTTAGACATATCCGTTGAGAGTATTTGGCTGCTATACATTTCCATGTGATAAGCCACTTCGTTGTGCTATCATTTGTGGCCAGGTCGCTTCTGAAAAATAGCTATATAGCTCAGTTGGCCTGACCTGGTAAAATAGAAAAAAGTTTTTAGTGGTGTACTCATTTACAAGGCAGTAACGTGGCTCAGTAATAGCGCATGCACCATCTTGTTGTAGAGGTTTACGGTTTTAATCTAGCGGCTGCTCTGATTATTACTGCAGGTGGATTAACTATGAAAATACTATGCACTGACTCATTCAGTGGACTTTAAAGACCCCGTGGCATCATCTGCAGAAGTAGGTCATTGTATGCCCGCTTCATGGTCAATATATGCCAAATTTGAAGAGATGACTCGCTTGGATGTACATAGCAATCATTGCCCCCTCCTGTGAAAACTTGGCAGGACCCTCCTGAAAAAGAGACTCAGTGAGACTGTCCTTGGTGAACAAGCTAAATAACAGTAAATAGTAATACTGTTAGGTGGACCGAGGTTGGAGGAAATGTATCAACTGCTATGCCGAAATATGTATTTGAACCAGCGACGTTTGGATTGCCAACCATTAAACCATGACAGCATATCCTTCTTTTATGTAAATTACAATCTATTTAAATTGAGTAAAATATACCTTTTACAGATGCGACATTGTTAATTATTGTTACGTATGCGCAGTATGTTTGTTTTTGTCAAATTTACAATTCAGCATGTTTGAAAATCATGAGTATAGAACTTGAACGCATATGCAACAATGACTTGTGGACTTGTTGCCATAGTCATTCATTCTTTACATTACATTTTTTATATGTTTTCAGCAAACGAAGTGGACCCGTACAACGCTTGCTGCAGATCTGGAGACAAGGGACTGTGCAATATGTACCAGCAGAGGCGTCCCTCTGACCGTTGTTCATACTACAGACCACCTTTCTACGGTGATTCTTCTCTGAATTTGTGTTCACTGTTGTCTATATTGTTAACAGATATCAGTATGTAGGACAAAATAAAATATCGATTTGATCTTCATTATTACCCTTGACCTTTATATGGAAACCATGAAGAAGTGGTCCTGATGACGACCGCTTGCATTGCGATCGAAATGTCGGAGTTTTTTTGTTCTTTTTTGTTATTTTCTTTGAACCTATCAACGTGACTTCTTAGTTTTCATTATTTAGATACTGGCAAAAAGGTCCCATAGATATTAAACATTTTCTTTAGATTTTTTTCAGCAATTCTCATTGGTGACCCTCACATCACAACACTGGACAACGTCCCTTACACGTTTAACGGCCTTGGAGAGTCCACAATCCTGGAAGTGTTTACAAACAATGTCATGAACTTCACCATGCAGGGTCGAACTGGAATTGCAAGCGCCAATGCGAGTGCCAATGTGACCACTAAAGCCACTTCATTCATAGCCATCGTAGCACAGCAGATCGGTGATGACAAGGTACGTACCAGGTGGTTGTTAAACGGTCTCGGGTGTAAATGGATGGCAGATTAATGTAGGGATTTGACTGCACAGAACACGCACTGTGCGAGGTATATTATCATATGGAAGCCAAGTTGCTATCGGTATTTAATTTTGTTATGTCGCAGTTCCGTGAGCAGTGCTTAAATTCAGCCGGGACCGTGGATTGCTGTTTCGGGATTTATCTCGGCATGCCACATCCATTCCCTCCTTATTTTGTCCTCATGATACAGCAGTGGTGTGTCTAGGATTATTACCGACAGGAGTACCTTGTACTGACCGTGCCCCATGATGATAATCCCGACTGCACACCAGCCTTAAAGTGTTACAGAAATATTTAGTGAGAAATTAAGCCCCTGATCGCCGATGGTTTTGGGAGGCTTTCATCCAGCAGTGGATTGATCATAGCTGATGGTAATTAGTTAACATTGCATGTTAATTATCACGTGTAAATGTGTACAATAGTTATCAGTTTGAATAATTTTGATTTTAAGCTTTCGCGACTGAAGGAATCCATACTCTTTGGTTCTTTCAGTAAAGTCACGTAGGTAGAGAAAATATAAAATTAATAATATTAAAACACGACGTTTCGACCGCAACACAAGCAGTTTTCATCAGAAAATATAGTGAGAGATCTGCCGCAGCAAGAGGTTATATAGGTTTGAGCTGTGTGCAACCCAAGGGTAAGTGGGTGGGGCTAGAGATAGATTTGCATGTACATGTAGAAGATTAGCATGTCAATGTCAGAGAACCGGGCACAAAAGCACCTCAAGGGCCACAGGATCTACGGCATTGGCAGCTGCGCTGTGAGAGGAAAGCGTGTAAAGGGCTATGGTGGCCGAGCCAGTGAGACATACAGCCCATGAAACAGCAAGAGCCATCGATACATCTAGGCTAAGGGAGCAAAAGCGGCCATGTTAGTGATACCCTAGCCTGTTAATGCAAGGGCATCCAACAGGGAAATACAACTCAGAGAGTCGGAGGGTAACAGCCAAACGACAGGCAGGATGGAAACATCACAGCACACACACACCAGGTTAGTCACGCTAATCTTCTACATTTACTTGCAAATCCATCTATAGCCCCGCCCAATTACCCTTGGGTTGCACACAGATCCAACCTCTATAACCTCTTGCTGCGGCAGATCCCTCACTATATTTCCTGATGACGACTGCTTGTGTTGCGGTCGAAACGTCGTGATTTATTATTTTTCATTTTATATTTTCTCTACCTACATGACTTTACCGAAAGAACCAAAGAGTTTGAGTAATTTTCTTAACTGTTAATGGGCCACTAATGTACGATGTTGATGAAATATTTAGTCATGGGAACATTTTCTGAATCATTATTGAGAATTTAAATTAAACCAACACCTTATATTGCTGTATTTATCTTTACCAGCTTTAAACAATCCACATTAGGTAGACAATTTATGTACATTTTCTGGGTTGCATAAATACAACATAATATTAATCGTTTGACATTGGTAGATTTGTTTTACTATAGCATTTTAAATGTTAGGATGTGTGCGACGCAAATTATGTGGGCTCACAATATGATCTGGATTCTATGTTCAAACTGTGCCCAGATAGAGCGGATGTAAAAATATAACCTTACAAATAAATATCGTTTGTTAAATTAAGCAACTGAAATACTTTGATTGAATAATGTGCTAAATTAATTCTAAAAGTATAATTACTTTACTAAAATTATATTTTCAGAGGGATATATTTGAGAAATCTGTATTTTTTGCAATGCTTTTTGTATCCTATAGTCTTGTGAGATTGTTATACCTTTTTAAAAATATGTGTTCGATAGGTTGAATGGATCCTGAAGAACACCAGCATTGTAATGTTAGTCAACGGTGCAGTTGTGGGTGTAAACGGTAACACTCATTTTAATATAATGCACTTAAAGTTTTAGCATCTCTTTTGACAATACATTTCGATGCATGATCATAGCCAGTGATGTCTGAATATTCCCTATATAAGGATATATTGTGTCCTAAACATTTTTTTTTCATGAGCAACACTGACATTTTTGTTTCAACTAGGTGAAACTGAGTGGCTCAGGGTTCAGTGTAGGATGTTTTTGGTAACTTATCCAGGTCAACAGTAACTACATAAAACAAAAATCCCACCACCGCATAAACATTTTCTTTCCACTTAATCTGATCGAAGTTCAAGCTCTGGGAGTTAAAGCATAAAACATGCATCAACTATCATTCTGCATGGGGAAAGTATAGCGCCTTCCAGTTTGTGTGGATAAAAGCAGTAACTGAAGAAAATATCACGTGTGGATCTGTGGTGTAAACTTCCACTGGTTGTTCTCCAACCATGCGGTGATGGGACACATGACAACAGTTCTGAATGGATCATTTAACTCGTAGCACAAGTGCACTGTTGGAATGTGAGTGGGTGGGGAGCGGGACAGGGAGGCAGAAGTAAAAAAAAAATCGAACAAATTGGCTGACGAAATATATTTTTAAATTATAATAGTGACTGAGATGTGCAGTATCTGTGTTTTTTTTTTTAACACCTGTAAACAAATCCACAAATTAAGAAGTTAGCAAAATGTTAATGCACCATTGTGCCATATTACACAGAATGTAAATTAGAAGTTGAACAATAACTGAAATACTTAATCGTATGTGTACAGGATTCGGAATGAGATTGATAGGATGAAAAGGAAGGATGAGCAAGGATGATGACGATTTTCTGCTGTAGACTTTGGTGTAGGATCAGCGCTAAACATGCATAATGATGAGGTTAATCAATGGAAGGTATCTTTACATTCTAACTATATTAGGTATGATATGTTGTTAATCATAATTGGTAAGTTCTCAGAAGGAAATCGAGCCTATTCTGCAATAAATCGTCAATGACCAAATCACCCAACAATGGACCCAATCTCATCAGATCTCAGAACCTAACAGAATTGAGCTTGGACAGTGGATGGGTCACCACTGGCCTGCACGGCGTGGGAAGGCCATTATCCAGCAGTACGTGTGAAGTAATTTACACTGGTAGTGAACTGACACAACTAATCTCGGATGTTTTAAAATTGAATTTCTCAGGTTCGTTAGGTTCGTATAGCAATGGAAACATAGCGATTAAGACGGGCCCAGCGAATGTGGCGGCCGTGTTCTCCTCGGGCATCTCTGTGAATGTGTCGGGGACTTCAGGAGCCCTCAATTTCATCACGCTACTGCCCGAGCGCTTTGCATCTGCCAAAACAAAGGGCCTGCTGGGTGAGTTTGGCGGCTCGTTCACAATGAAGTAAATGTGGGCCAAGGGCAAGCAGATTTTCATTTAAACGTTCAGCTCTTCCGTGGCATTTTCCGATCATTTTGTCACGTATTGCTCGGCATGTTGTTCAACGATTCAATCCCCGTGCTGGGAGCTTCTTCAGATTCTGGGCGCTGCTTTCGGGAAGTGGGTGGAGCGAAAAATTCAGACATCGAAAAAAAACCACCACATTCCAAAAATACATCGCAGAGCTGTACAGCACAACTCTAATACGTAATATTTAAAAATATTTTTTTTTAAATAAACAGCTTTAATGAAATGTACCGTACTAGTAATGGCAGAACTCCACGACTCCAGGAAGTGGCCCTGAAGCTTGCCGTGACGTAAGGGACCGTGGTGATATACAGCCAACGTCAGTTGAGCGTGGACAATTAGACCCAAGCCGAAACATAACATATAAAATGAATGTTTAAAAATATATATTTTAATGATATAATATAGTATTGTCATCAGTATGACAAAAGTATACCAAGTTTGCAGTCGATACCACATTGGGAAGTGGGTTCAATTTTAGTTACAAGATTTGAGGATACGACAACAACATAGTGAGTTATTAGAAATCGTGTAAAAATAATGTTTACAAATATATATATATATTAATGATAGAATATAGTATTGTCATCAGTAAGACATAAGTATACCAAGTTTTCAGTCGATACCACATTGGGGAGTGGGTTAAAATTGAGTTACTAGATTTGAGGATACGACAACAACAACAGAGTGAGTTACAGTAATAGGAAGCGTGTAATAATACGTATAAATGTACACTTTATTACGTAACGTCATTCTAAACAGGCTGTGGTATTTTCATGGGCTATATATTCTCCTTCTGATGTTCAAAGCTGTCTGCAGAATGGGAATCCTAGGAAGCCACTCGCACAGGATTCACAAAGACGTGATATAAGTGCCAGTTTTGTTTTTTATAGTGCCCAAGGGGTCAATAAAAACCAAGTATCACCTTGTAAGAAGTGAATAGTGGTTTATCTTTGGATAAACTGGCCTCTACCTTCGCAATATTTTTGTGTTTAGTGTGTTGTCCTTCCCCCGCACCTCCGATTAGCACGGTTGGCTACGTACAGTGAAATAAATTCAACATACGTACAGAAACTAAAATGGAGAGCAGTTACTGTAAGGTTTATTATTGGTGTTATTTGGGTTGGGTCAGTGTGACCTCCACAGTGACATTCTGTAATTGGGGGCAAGTGGGAGATAACTTGGTAATGTTATCGATACATTTCGATTTAAAGCTTTCGTGACTGCAGGGATTCATCTTCTTGGTTCTTTCGGTAAAGTCGCGTAGAAGGGAAGTAATAAAATAATAAAAATAAAACATAATAAAACAATTCTCACGACGTTTCGGCCACAACGCAAGCAGCCGTCCTCAGGTGAATGAAACAGCACACGAGCTTGGAGCATATATATAAGCTGGGCGCATTGACAAAGGAATTTGCATATCAAGAGGAATTTAGCATATTTATGGGAAATGCAGGAATGTGATTAGTCCTGCATATGCATGTGCATTATGCAGGATTAACAGCATCAAAGGGAGCTGCAGTTACTGCTGCTGCTGAAATTACTGCTGCTGCTGCAGTTTCTGCTGCTGCTGCAGTTACTGCTGCTGCTGCAGTTGCTGCTGCTGCTGCACTTGCTGCTGCTGCTGCACTTGCTGCTGCTGCAGTTGCTGCCTTATCCATTTTAATATAACACTATGTATTATTCTACCCACCCTAATGTGTATCACACTGCTATATGTTTACTATACAATTACGACACCATACATTACTCTGCACACTGCACCATGCCAGTGAGTGGAACGCGGTCGGAAAGTCACCGTAAACGTGAACACAATCAGTTAAGATCCGAAATGGTTTATTACGTCCTTCCAATGATTGCTAAGCCAGAATCCATCTTCTCGGTTGAAATTGTCTCTGTGTTTGTATATGTGGATCGCCTCATGAACGAATCTCTCATGATAGCCAGATGACTTGCAGAGAACCTCTGTCTTGGAGAAGTCAATGTCATGTGAGCCCACTGAATTGTAACAGTGATCTGCCACGGCTGAGGTGTTTGTCCTACCGTGTTTCAGGTCTGCCTTATGTTCACGGATGCGGTCCGAGACATGTCGTTTGGTTTCTCCAATGTAACTGCTACCACAGAGGCAACTTAGTTTGTAGACGCCAGGGTACTGTATGTCTGGAACCACATCTTTTACAGACGGGACCAGATCACGGATTTTATGTACTTGTAATAAAAGGACTCGAACACTTCTTTCTGTCTTCGTGTCTTTATTCAGGTTCACGTCTTTACCCACACGGCACTCTGTTATAACTCCTGTATTTGTAGCCCCCGGCTATTCACTGCTATTATAGCTTCCTCACCCCTCTGACTCTCTGCTTCATCTACTGTAACCTCCTCCCTGCAGACTTGCTGCTACCCCTATGTGCAGACCCTCTGGCTGTCACTGTATGCAGACCCGCTGCCCACTCTCTCTGTGCAGCCCCGCTGCTGACTGCAGCCTCCTCGCTGCTTCGGGTCGGTCACCGCTGGCCAACGGTGCCGATCCTCGCTCCCCCCGTGTTCGTGGCGATCTCGCCACACCCCGCTTCGCCCTTCGTGGCCTTCCTCTGTTCCTGGTTCCCCGTCACTCCCCCTGCTCTTCCGGTTCCCCTCCTTCTATACTCAACCCCTCTCCCCCCACGTGACCTAACTCCTCCCCCCCCTGACGGCACCTCAGAAGGGCCGTTTACAACCGCATTACATCACCCTCCCCCCTAAAGAAAATCCAGCCGACCTCGGCTGAATTGCAACCTGAAAAGCAATGCGGGTGTAAAGGGCCAACACGCAAAAAGACACGAAGCATTGAAGAACATTATAACAATAACACAACACAACACAATCTAACGAAACGTGAGGGATTTCGAGCGAGTACGGGTAGCCGGGCCGTCCCGGACGGTCGGCGGCCCACCCGCCGAGCGGGAACGTGGAAGGGTTTTAGGGGCGACGGGCGCAAGTTCTTCCGTCGCCATTGGAGGCCCGCCACTGTCCCGCTCGCGTCCAGAAACATCCCGTACTCGCGTCCGCGGAGGGATAGGAAGAGCTGCAGGTCCCGTGGGTTCTGCGGCTCCGGTCGGCGTCCCACAAGCGGAAGGTCCTCCTCCCTGCGCTGTCACGGCCGGCTTGTCTGTGAAGGGTACGACAGGCGCTCTCGCAAGGTCAGCAGACACAGGCAAGGGCGAGTCGGCAGCAACAGACCCCGGCAAGGCAACTTGGGGAGATGACGCATCCGGCCGTGGGGCAATGTATGGCTTCAACCGGGACGTGTGCACGAACCAACGCCGTGCACCAACCTGAACACGCGCCGACTGTGGGTTGGGAACCTCAATGAGGCGGACCGGACCCTGCCAAGGTCGATGTAATTTAGGAGATGTACCTGGCCGCACCTGTGGGCAATGAAGCCAGGCCAGGTCCCCCTTTTTCCAGGGACACTCCCCCTTTGAACGTCGGGCACACCGCTCATTCCTGGCCTGAGCCTTGGCAGTAGCCATGCGGGCATTTTCCCTCGCCTCAGCGACACGCCGAACGTTGTCCTTAATATACTCAGGAAGAGGCTTAACAGGCCCCCTCGCACCGGTTCCCAACTGGTCATGAATCGGCGGCACGTTCTCACGGCCGTACATAAGGAAAAACGGCGAGTATCCAGTAGCCGCGTGCGGCGTCATGCGATACGCCGAAAGCACCCCAGGGATATGCAAATCCCAATCAGATTGGTTTTCCCCGACTGTATGGCACAGCATGGCGGACAGAGTCCGATTCAACCGTTCCACCATACCATCCGTTTGCGGGTGGTAGGGGGACGTCCGTATCTTTTTAGTTCCAAGAGCCGCACACACCTCCCCCAACAATTTAGACGAAAAGTTACGTCCCTGATCCGTAAGGAGCCTCTCCGGAGCCCCTTTGTCCATTACATACCCAAATAGAAAGGCGTCCGTGATAGACGCCGCTGACTGGTCAGGCAAGGGCCAGGCCATCGGCCAGCGAGAGAGGTACTCCACCCCCACCAGTAAATACTTATTCCCTTTAGCTGATGGCGGAAAGGGTCCCAAAATATCTAACGCCACCAACTCATTAACCCGAGATACTTTAATCGATTGTATCGGCGGAACATATGGATGTTTAGGCGGCTTACGGCGGGCACAATCGGGACACGCGCGAACGTGACCGACGACATCCGTCGTCATGCCGTGCCAATAATAGTCTCGTTGCAGCGTCAATAGGGTTTTCTGCACCCCCAGGTGTAAAAGTGTGTCACAGTGCAAAGATCGAATCAACTCATAGCGCAATGACGCAGGCACAACGAGACGCCAGTGTTCCTGTATCCCTTCCCTCCACATCAGTAACCCATCTCGGAGAGCAGTTTCCGAATTACCACCCGCACCGACTTCCTTACCCGCCTTCTCCGTTCGTTTCCGTAACGACACCAAAGAATCGTCCAACATTTGCTCCCGAATCCACACAGACCTTGGAAGACGCAAAATCCCGTCAGCCGGTCCCCCTTCAACCGGTCCCGGTGTAAGCGGAGGTTCGAGAACATCCACTGCCCGCGCGACAGGTTGAGGGGGGGGCTGAGCCGGTCCACACCTATGCGTCCCCGACGCACACGCACAAGGGGATTGTTGCGGCAACCTGGACAGTGCGTCCGCGTTAGCGTGACGCACACCCTTCCGATGGTGAATTTGGAAGGAGAATTCTTGCAACGTGTCCAGCCATCTCGCCAATTGTCCGGATGGCTGGTCCATCTTAAGAGCGTACTGCAAGGCCGCATGGTCCGTTCGGACAATAAACGACCGACCGTACAGATACGGTCGAAATTGGCGGAGAAAATACACAATAGCCAAAAGTTCCCTGCGAGTGACGCAGTAACGAGTTTCCGCGGGAGACAAAA